CATTTACATAAAAACAAACTCGGCATACCTTATTTTGCGTATATCAGTTTATATATAAGTTCAGAAATACAATGATATGCATATAAGTTAAAGAACATTGTGACATATATGTAAGTTCAGCTGATATACTACGGCATATGTAGGTAGAGATATACTGTGATATGTATGTAAATTAAAATAGACTTTGGTGTGCATGTAAGTTTAGATATTTCACGACATATATGTTAGTTCGATATACTGAAACGTATTTGTAATCAAAAGTATATTGTGACGTATATGTCAGATATACTATGAAATTTATGTAAGTAAAGATGCACTATTGCATATATATATATATATATATATAAGTTCAGATATACTGTGACATATGTAAATTACTATGACATAGAGTGACTTTAGTGCGAGTGCATCAAAAACATTTCCTATTCCTTCCTCGGCAAAAAAATACTTTTTACCAATTTTCTTTTTTGGGTATGCCATAGTATACTTGTCATGTGAACGCGTTTACTTATGTGTATATTTACACCAGGAGCAAATTTGCATCATGTCTGGAGCAGGTGCAAATATAAAAGTAAATTTGCACTGTGTGTATATGTTGAAATGTGAACGTTTATGTCAACGTAAAAGGATGATCTTATTAATATTTGTTCTTTTGCCAACACCAATCAAATTGTCAACAGTTGCCAACTTTTATGTGTATATATAGAGTTGAGCGGACGGTGTTTTCTTTTGGTTTCAAGGAGTCAAAATTTTGTGTACAAATTAAATCAAACACATGTTGCTTCACGGGAAATATTTCGGTGAAGTAACTCTCTTCTCATTCAACATTGATTGGACAACAACCTGTTTTGTGTTGAAAGTTGTGAACAGAGTGACGAATAGGTGTGCCCTACACAATCTACTTTATTTACACACCTAAGATGCTTTTCGTGTAAACGCATAGTAAATTTACATATACGCACGTATCTATATTTACACATGTGTAAAGTTACTTACGTTAGTAAATGTTGCGCATGTGTTTTTTGTATGTCATAATATTTTCTGCCTTTGAGTATATGTACAGTTGTTTCAAAATATATTGTGTAGTACCATGCAACTATTGAATACATTTTCATTACCTTACGCATTACAGGCCAGTATATATCTATATATACTGAACAAAAAGTTAGGGACCATGATTATTTGAAGAAAACCTTTATGAAAATATGTGCTCGGTCTTCACTCCAAAAAATATCCCCCCCCAAAAAAAAAAATTTTTAAAAATAAATAAATAAAAAATATATTTAAATAAATGAATCAGCGTATATACTTATCTTAGATACTCGTGTCAATGTTTTCTATATACCCTTCTAAGGTTCAAATCTCATATATTGGACGTGCCGAACTACTTAACAATATATGATATGATTATATCGGCTCCAAACTGGACATCAGATGTGTTTCGGAAACGCAACCGAAAATATCTGATTGTACCCTGAGTGAGAGCCTCTATACCCCTCGCCGGTACATAGGCGCTCACGCAGGGTGTATCACGCAGGGTGTATCATATCATATAACCTTCGAGACTGGCTGCCTACTTATACTTCCTTCTTTCACTCCTGACTGTTTTGTGTTCATCCCTCCGTCTAGATCTCTACAAACGGCGTGATAAGTTTTGGGACGCGGTTTGGTTCGTACTCGCCATCGCTGCCCACCAATACCCAGAACATATTGTGTCCTTACTGGGCTGACATTGACATCACGTCCGCGAATAGGCCCAACACAACTGCCATCTACTACCAGGCATACAGTGGCACCAGCAATAGGCTTGAAACAGCTTCCACTTGGATTAAGAAATACATCTCTGACAGCACATTCAAAGCAACATGGGCGTTGGTGGTCACGTGGTATCACGTGCCACAGAAGGGACAATCTTCATCTGACGAGGTAAGAAATCATAAACTGACGGCCAAAAGAAACGTTACAAACGATATTTCTAGGATAAAATATGACCAACACAATTTGAAGCAGCAATTACAATTGTATTGTAGAAATTCATCATTCAGAACAGTAAAATGCGAATGTAATAATTCAACAACAAAGTCCTTGTCCTCACATCGACTGCAGGTATCAGATTCCATTCCTCACGATCAACGCTTGTCTCGTGAAGGGAGGATGTTGACGTTTCCGAAGACGACGCCCCGGGTGGTCCCAGAGATGTTCTATGGGTGACAGATCTGGTGATCGAGCTGGCCACGGCAGGACAGTCACGTTGTTGGCGTTGAGGAAGTCCCTAGTAATACGGGCTTTATGGGGTGTGGCGTTATCTTGTTTGAACACCGTCCGTTGTTGACGCTGGATGAAAGGGAGAACCACAGGCCGTAAGATATTGTCAATGTAGCGTTGTGCTGTCAGATTGCCTTCGATGATGACAAGTTCCGTCTTCTCGTCCCCGCAAATGCCGCCCATCACACTTCCGCCCCCGTAAGGTTCCACCTCCTGGACACAAGAAGGAGCCGTACGTTCACCACGTCGTCGATAAACTCGCGTCCGCCCATCAGGTTTGAAGAGTTGAGTTTGCCTGCACCACGTCAGTCAGGCACGTCGATGTTGACGGGTCAAGGTCATGCCCTTGAAAGGGCGATAAGCCCGGAGACCATAATGTCGTAGTCGTCTGGTCACTGTTCGTCTGCTGACCGGATGTCCTAAGCTATTGGCAGCTAATGACCTCCCTGTAAGAAATCTGGTCCTCAGATGAAGAACCCGTAAAAAGCGGTCATCCTGCGGGGTCGTGACCTTTGGTCTGCCACTCCGTGGTCTGTCTGCGGTTCTGCCAGTCTGTCGGAGACGTGCGACCAGTCTCGTAATGGTCATCTTGGAGCAGTTCATGTTAATGGCAACCGCTCTCTGTGTCGTTCCCATCTGCAGCATATCTATGGCTCTCTCCCTCTGGAGAGCGGTCAGTCTTGGCATGTTCGTTGGTGTTAATCATCGCAACCAATGATAGGGAACAGATCCGTGCGTAATTTATACCCGGAAATTGCAAGATAAATTGGGAAAGAATGTTTTAAAAAATTGCTGAAAAACACGAATATCTCCCAAAATTCGCAAAGCACGTGCAAAAAACGACAGAGAACATGAAGGCTGTATTCGTGAGATGTAAGTGCGACACTGCATGAGTGAGTAAGTGTGTGTGTAATTCAGAGAGCGGGTGAGTTCGTGAGTCAGTGAATGAGTGAGTGTGTGCGTGATTCAGTGTGTGTGTGTGTGTGTGTGTGTGTGTGTGTGTGTGTGTGTGTGTGTGTGTGTGTGTGTGTGTGTGTGTGTGTGTGTGTGTGTGTGTGTGTGTGTGTGTGTGTGTGTGTGTGTGTGTGTGTGATTTAGGGAGTGATTCAGTAACAGACAGACAGACTCTCGAAGTGGCGAGTACTTTTTGTTTAATAATTTACGTCCTCTACGAAAGGATCATTATCTTAAACTGATTTATTTTCTGTGAAGGTTGCAACGTTCCAAGTGCTGCTGGTCACTAACGGCCAGTCCACGTATGCCTTGTATACCTACAACAGAATGGGATGGACGGTGAGAGACGATATCCCAATTTACATCGGCTATGAAAGTTCAAATACGAGAGATAGAAGACAGGAGGTCCTTATCATGTCTGGAAAGCGGGCAGCTTATACCAACGCCGGCATCGGCAGCAACACGGGTAGGTAGCACGTCATCATCCAAGAAAGAGCTCCTCACACAATGAACACAAACTCAACGGATACACTGTAGGTAACCACGAGTGTAAATCCATTTATCCAACTTGACCGCCTCCGTGGTGTAGTCGGTAAAGCGTCTCCCCAGAGAGCGAAAGGTACGAAGTTCGATCCAGGGCATACACGTCCCTATGTAAGTGCAATAATCTTGGACGCGACGTTAAACCCAATTGAACATAGCGTAGCCGCTATTGAACATATCTTCTTTTCCCCCGTCACGGGATAAGAGAGAAACATGATATGTCACGAGAAGCATGAAATATCCTATTTATTATATACTTTTTGTGCAGTTGTCTATCGGAAAATTAAAATATTTCATTACAAATGTAAAACCTTGAAACGTAAATTCTCCCTACCGGACAGACAGGGACGGTTCACTACCCATTGTATTAGTGACTAAAGAAGTATCTTCGTGTTTGCAAAATCTTAAAAGATTTAAAAGAAACTAACAAAAAATATTTTAAAAATCTGTCGGTTTGAAAAAAGGAAGAACATTTTTGTTTGAAACAAAATATTTTGAACAATTCAGGTACCCCGGGCGTGTACATATTCGACATCGGGGGGACGGTGACGAACTTCGTATCGTTGTGTAAACAATGGTACACTGAATGGGTGCCGGATTACCAGTTTTGGTGGGCCTGGTTCCTGGATGACTGTCCCTGCAGCTCCGTGTGGATGAACAGAGACTGGAGGTTCTACCTGTCTGACTATAGATTCAAAAACGGTCGATTCAGTGTCTGTTACACATCGCGCCGCACTTGGTGGACCACTCCTTTGTCTCGGGTAAGTTGCTCACTCACACACTACTGAGCGTATGACTTGAGGCGTACCACTTAACAAGTTTAATGTGCGAGGAGAGCAAAAGGCGACGTAGGGCCTTCAGACTACTTGAGCTACAGCTGCGTAATTTTGAGTAAAAATATATTGGTTCAATGTAGACAGGGGTAAGAAATATATTTGCACTCACTTGTTTGAAATGCTGTATATTTGTTCTGAAAAAAGCAAATTTATTGATTTTCAAAGATAACATGCCTAAGATACCCATAAGCAGTTTGGTATTATGCAAAACCTTTTTCTTTTTTTTCTAAAAGTTTGAATTCAAACTAAGCAAAACAATCTAAGGCGTTTAGATGTTTTACATGTACACTCGTTGTCCATCACTTACATAGTATACTGATATAGTTTCATGAACAGATAAACGAGTTAAACGATTTGAATGTTCCACTTTGCATGGTTTGAATTCTGACATTATTTCTGCAGAAATGTTGCTACAGAAACACCAGATTATTGACGTCAGATGAGGAATCTGGATCGCTGCAGAGGTTTGATCCCGTTTTTGTTGGGCTTCATTACCGGGCAGATTACCTGGGAAGATATTATTGCTGTGAGCAGTCCAACAGGTGCGATCTCTTCTTCAGCATCCGGCCTCAGAGATTCTGTTCACGTACATTCCCCTTCTGGTGGGGTAAGTGAAGACTATTGACGTGACGAGTTCGTGAGTTCGTGGGTGGGTGGGTGGGTGAGTGAGTGAGTGAGTGAGTGAGTGAGTGAGTGAGTGAGTGAGTGAGTGTGTGAGTGAGTGAGTGAGTGAGTGGGATAAACAGAGTATCATCAGGGAGATAAACAGATTCTTACATCACGCATTCATTCTCTCTCACATTAAAGGTAAAGAGATTCGTGCGAGACAAACATATTTACATGTTTCGTTTGATAACGGTGTACTTTCATAATGTGAGAAGAATGTGAGGTGTCATCACTTTGATGAAAGCTTCGAGCCTGAGTATGGTGCTGAGAAACCTAAACTCATACTCATGATGAACATGGGATTCATAGAATTGAGGTATGGTCAATATTCATGGAAGCACCTTGTTTCATGCAGTTGATACTGACAAGTATTGAAGTATTGTTCGGCCGAGATTGATAGGGTTATAACGACTATTTCAGCCATCGCGTTCGGTGACCCGCACATCACAACCCTTGATGATCTCACCTACATCTTCAACGGTTTCGGCGAGTACGTTATGGTTCAACGGGAGGACGCAAATGCCACTTTTACACTTCAAGCCAGAACAGAACGGGCTCTTAATAAGGACGGCAATCTCACCACGGCAACCATCTTCACGGCCTTCGCTGCTACGGACACAAATGATACCTTCATCGTGGAACTGTCTCCATCTAAGGAAGGTAGGCATATCCAAAGTATTGTTTTACTGACCTACACTTCTAATACATCTCTAAGAGAGCTGCAAATGATACACATCTAATGCAAACATACTACATTATTACCTCCCTTAGTAAAAGGGCACAGATGATGCAAACATACTACATTATTACCTCCCTTAGTAATAGGCAACAGATGATCCAAACTTGCTACATTATTACCTCCCTTAGGAGTAGGGCACATATGATGCAAACATACTACATTATTACCTCCCCTAGTAATAGGACACAGATAATGCAAACATACTACATTATTACCTCCCATAGTAATAAGGCACAGATGATGCAAACATGCTTCATTATTACCTCCCTTAGTAATAGGCCACAGATGATGCAAACTTGCTACATTATTACCACCCTTAGTAAAAGAGTGCATCTAATACAAACTTTCTAGATTATTACCTCACTTAGTACTAGGGCACATCTGATGCACACATACTACATTATTACCTCCCTTAGTAATAGGCCACAGATGATGCAAACTTGCTACATTATTACCTCCCTTAGTAAAAGAGTGCATCTAATACAAACTTTCTAGATTATTACCTCACTTAGTACTAGGGCACATCTGATGCACACATACTACATTATTACCTCCCTTAGTAATAGGACACAGATGATACAAACCATCTACATTTTTACCTCCCTTAGTAGGGCACATCTGATGCAAACATACTACATTATTACCTCCCTTAGTAATAGGGCACAGATAATGCAAACATACTACATTATTACCTCCCTTACTAAAAGGGCACAGATGATGCATACATGCTACATTATTACCTCCCTTTACTTAAAGGCCACAGATGATGCAAACATGCTACATTATTACCTCCCTTAGGAGTAGGGCACAGATGATGCAAACATGCTACATTATTACCTCCCTTAGTAATAGGGCACAGATGATGCAAACATGCTTCATTATTACCTCCCTTCGTAACAGGGCACAGATGATGCAAACATACTACATTATTACCTCTCTTAGTAATAGGGCACAGATGATGCAAACATGCTACATTGTTACCTCCCTTAGTAATAGGGCACAGATGTTGGAAACATGCTTTATTATTACCTCCCTTAGTAATAGGGCATAGATGATGCAAACATGCTACATTATTAACGCCCTTAGTAATAGGACACAGATAATGCAAACATACTACATTATTACCTCCCCAAGTAATAGGCACATATAATACAAACTTTCTATATTTTTATCTCCCTTAGTAATAGGGAACATCTAATAGAAACTTTCGAGATTATTACATCCCTTAGTCATAGGGCACATCTAGTACAAACTTTCTACATTATTACCTTCCTTAGTACTAGGGCACATCTAATACAAACTTTCTACATTATTACCTCACTTAGTTATAGGGCACATCTAATACAAACTTTCAACATTATTAACTCGCTTAGTAATATGGCACATCTAATACAAACTTTTCGCATTATTACCTCCCTTAGTAATAGGGCATATATAGATGATGCAAACATGCTACATTATTACCGCCCTTAGTAATAGGGCACAGACAATGCAAACATACTACATTATAACCTCCCTTAGTACGAGGGCACATATAATACAAACTTTCAATATTTTTACCTCCCTTAGTAATAGGGAACATCTAATACAAACTTTCTAGATTATTACCTACCTTAGTACTAGGGCACATCTAATACAAACTTTCTACATTATTACCTCCCTTAGTAATAGGGCACATCTGATGCAAACATACTACATTATTACCTCCCTTAGTAATAGGGCACAGATAATGCAAACATACTACATTTTTATCTCACTTAGGAGTACGGCACATATGATGCAAACATACTACATTATTACCTCCCCTTGTAATAGGGCACAGATAATGCAAACATACTCCATTGTTACCTCCCTTAGTACGAAGGCACATATAATACAAACTTTCTATATTATTACCTCCCTTAGTAATAGGGAACATCTAATACAAACTTTCTACATTATTACCTCCCTTAGTACCAGGGCACACCTAATACAAACTTTCTACATTATTACCTCACTTAGTACTAGGGCACATCTAATACAAACTTTCAACATTATTAACTCCCTTAGTAATATGGCACATCTAATACAAACCTTTCGCATTAATACCTCCCATTGTAATAGGGCACATCTGATGCAAACATACCATACTATTGCCTCCCTTAGTAAAAGGGTACATCTAATACAAACTTTCTACATTATTACCCCCCTTAGTACGAGGCCATATATAATACAAACTTTCTATATTATTACCTCCCTTAGTAATAGGGGACATCTAATGCAAACTTTCTAGATTATTACCTACCTTAGTAATAGAGTGCATCTAATACAAACTTTTTAGATTATTACTTCACTTAGTAATGGGGCACATCTGATGCAAACATACCACATTATTACCTCCCTTAGTAATAGGGCACATCTAATACAAACTTTCCACATTATTACCTCCCTTAGTAATAGGGCACACCTAATGCAAACTTTCCAAATTATTATCTCCCTTAGTGCTAGGGCACATCTAATACAAACTTTCCACATTATTACCTCCCTTAGTAATAGGGCACATCTGATACAAACTGTCTGCTTCATTACCTCCCTTAGTAATAGGGCACAGATAATGCAAACATACTACATTATTACCTACCTTAGTAATAGGGCACAGATGATGCAAACTTTCTACATTATTACCTTCCTTAGGAGTACGGCACAGATGATGCAAACATACTACATTATAACCTCCCTTAGTAATAAGGCCGAGATGATGCAAACATGCTACATTATTACCTCCCTTAGTAATAGTGCATCGATAATGCAAACATACTACAGTGTTACCTCCCTTAGTACGAGGGCACATATAATAGAAACTTTCTATATTATTACCTCCCTTAGTAATAAGGAACATCTAATACAAACTCTCTACATTATTACCTCCCTTAGTAAAAGGGTACATCCAATACAAACCTTCTACATTATTACCTCACTTAGTAATAGGGCACATCTAATACAAACTTTCCACATTATTACCTCCCTTAGGAATAAGGCACATCTGATACAAACTTTCTGCTTCATTACCCCCCTTAGTAATAGCGTACATTTAATAAAAACCTTCTACATTATTACCTCCCTTAGTAATAGGGCACATCTGATGCAAACATACTACATTATTACCTCCCTTAGTAATAGGGCACAGATAATGCAAACATACTACATTTTTATCTCACTTAGGAGTACGGCACATATGATGCAAACATACTACATTATTACCTCCCCTTGTAATAGGGCACAGATAATGCAAACATACTCCATTGTTACCTCCCTTAGTACGAAGGCACATATAATACAAACTTTCTATATTATTACCTCCCTTAGTAATAGGGAACATCTAATACAAACTTTCTACATTATTACCTCCCTTAGTACCAGGGCACACCTAATACAAACTTTCTACATTATTACCTCACTTAGTACTAGGGCACATCTAATACAAACTTTCAACATTATTAACTCCCTTAGTAATATGGCACATCTAATACAAACCTTTCGCATTAATACCTCCCATTGTAATAGGGCACATCTGATGCAAACATACCATACTATTGCCTCCCTTAGTAAAAGGGTACATCTAATACAAACTTTCTACATTATTACCCCCCTTAGTACGAGGCCATATATAATACAAACTTTCTATATTATTACCTCCCTTAGTAATAGGGGACATCTAATGCAAACTTTCTAGATTATTACCTACCTTAGTAATAGAGTGCATCTAATACAAACTTTTTAGATTATTACTTCACTTAGTAATGGGGCACATCTGATGCAAACATACCACATTATTACCTCCCTTAGTAATAGGGCACATCTAATACAAACTTTCCACATTATTACCTCCCTTAGTAATAGGGCACACCTAATGCAAACTTTCCAAATTATTATCTCCCTTAGTGCTAGGGCACATCTAATACAAACTTTCCACATTATTACCTCCCTTAGTAATAGGGCACATCTGATACAAACTGTCTGCTTCATTACCTCCCTTAGTAATAGGGCACAGATAATGCAAACATACTACATTATTACCTACCTTAGTAATAGGGCATAGATGATGCAAACTTTCTACATTATTACCTTCCTTAGGAGTACGGCACAGATGATGCAAACATACTACATTATAACCTCCCTTAGTAATAAGGCCGAGATGATGCAAACATGCTACATTATTACCTCCCTTAGTAATAGTGCATCGATAATGCAAACATACTACAGTGTTACCTCCCTTAGTACGAGGGCACATATAATAGAAACTTTCTATATTATTACCTCCCTTAGTAATAAGGAACATCTAATACAAACTCTCTACATTATTACCTCCCTTAGTAAAAGGGTACATCCAATACAAACCTTCTACATTATTACCTCACTTAGTAATAGGGCACATCTAATACAAACTTTCCACATTATTACCTCCCTTAGGAATAAGGCACATCTGATACAAACTTTCTGCTTCATTACCCCCCTTAGTAATAGCGTACATTTAATAAAAACCTTCTGCATTATTACCTCCCTTAGTAATAGGGGACAGATAATGCAAATATACTACATTATTACCTCCCTTAGTAATATGTCACAGATGATGCAAACTTGCTACATTATTACCTTCCTTAGGTGTACGGCACAGATGATGCAAACATACTACATTATTACCTCCCTTAGTAATAGGGCACAGCTGATGCAAACATACTACATAATTACCTCCCTTAGTAATAAGGCACAGATGATGCAAACATGCTTCATTATTACCTCCCTTAGTAATAGGGCATAGATGATGCAAACATGCTACATTATTACCTCCCTTAGTAATAGGGCACAGATAATGCAAACATACTACATTGTTACCTCCCTTAGCACGAGGGCACATATAATAGAAACTTTCTATATTATTACCTCCCTTAGTAATAGGGAACATATAATACAAACTTTCTACATTATTACCTCCCTTAGTAATAGGGTACATCTAAGACAAACCTTCCACATTATTACCTCACTTAGTAATAGGGCACATCTAATACAAACTTTTCGCATTATTACCTCCCTTAGTAATAGGGCACAGATGATGCATACATACTACACTATTGCCTCCCTTAATAAAAGGGTACTTCTAATACAAACTTTCTACATCATTACCCCCCTTAGTACAAGGGCATATATAATACAAACTTTCTATATTATTACCTCCCTTAGTAAAAGAGTGCATCTAATACAAACTTTCTAGATTATTACCTCACTTAGTACTAGGGCACATCTGATACAAACTGTCTGCTTCATTACCTCCCTTAGTAATAGGGCACAGATAATGCAAACATACTACATTATTACCTACCTTAGTAATAGGGCACAGATGATGCAAACTTTCTACATTATTACCTTCCTTAGGAGTACGGCACAGATGATGCAAACATACTACATTATAACCTCCCTTAGTAATAACGCCGAGATGATGCAAACATGCTACATTATTACCTCCCTTAGTAATAGTGCATCGATAATGCAAACATACTACAGTGTTACCTCCCTTAGTACGAGGGCACATATAATAGAAACTTTCTATATTATTACCTCCCTTAGTAATAAGGAACATCTAATACAAACTCTCTACATTATTACCTCCCTTAGTAAAAGGGTACATCCAATACAAACCTTCTACATTATTACCTCACTTAGTAATAGGGCACATCTAATACAAACTTTCCACATTATTACCTCCCTTAAGAATAAGGCACATCTGATACAAACTTTCTGCTTCATTACCCCCCTTAGTAATAGCGTACATTTAATAAAAACCTTCTGCATTATTACCTCCCTTAGTAATAGGGCACAGATAATGCAAATATACTACATTATTACCTCCCTTAGTAATATGTCACAGATGATGCAAACTTGCTACATTATTACCTTCCTTAGGAGTACGGCACAGATGATGCAAACATACTACATTATTACCTCCCTTAGTAATAGGGCACAGCTGATGCAAACATACTACATAATTACCTCCCTTAGTAATAAGGCACAGATGATGCAAACATGCTTCATTATTACCTCCCTTAGTAATAGGGCATAGATGATGCAAACATGCTACATTATTACCTCCCTTAGTAATAGGGCACAGATAATGCAAACATACTACATTGTTACCTCCCTTAGTACGAGGGCACATATAATAGAAACTTTCTATATTATTACCTCCCTTAGTAATAGGGAACATCTAATACAAACTTTCTACATTATTACCTCCCTTAGTAATAGGGTACATCTAAGACAAACCTTCCACATTATTACCTCACTTAGTAATAGGGCACATCTAATACAAACTTTTCGCATTATTACCTCCCTTAGCAATAGGGCACAGATGATGCATACATACTACACTATTGCCTCCCTTAATAAAAGGGTACTTCTAATACAAACTTTCTACATCATTACCCCCCTTAGTACAAGGGCATATATAATACAAACTTTCTATATTATTACCTCCCTTAGTAAAAGAGTGCATCTAATACAAACTTTCTAGATTATTACCTCACTTAGTACTAGGGCACATCTGATGCACACATACTACATTATTACCTCCCTTAGTAATAGGACACGGATGATACAAACCATCTACATTTTTACCTCCCTTAGTAGGGCACATCTGATGCAAACATACCACATTATTACCTTCCTTAGTAATAGGGTACATCTAATACAACTTTCTAAATTCTTATCACCCTTAGTACCAGGGCACATCTGATACACACTTTCGACATTATTACCTCGCTTAGTACTAGGACACATCTAATACAAACTTACTAAATTATTATCTCCCTTAGTGCTAGGGCACATCTAATACAAACTTTCCACATTATTGCCCCCCTTAGTAATAGGTACATCTAATTCAAACTTTCTAAATTATTATCTCCTTAGTGCTAGGGCACATCTAATACAAACTTTCTAAATTATTATCGCTGTAACATTGCTGCCGTCAGTGTTGGAGTGGTCATTACACGAATCCTGAAATTTGCCCTCTAACCCCAACTGTAGTAACGTTTATACTCTTGTTTATGTCTTTGGGAATGCCATCATAGTGAAGGTTTACCACTGACCATAATTCCCAGCTGAATGGCAATAGGTGAGGTGAAATGGGGTTTAACGTTGTTTCCAAGATTATTGCACTTATATAGCGACGTGCATGTACGTGTGTGTGTTTGTGTGGCTGCTTGTACTAGTCCGGACTGATGGCGATTTATAGTGCTAGCTCACTGATATACCATGCCGCTGTTTAACATGAATATCCCACTCAGACACAGTATACTGACTCCGAGCCGACCAGTCCTTGTTTTAGCCCCTTAATGCCGAGCGCCAGACAGGGTTACAACAAGTACCATCTTATTACGTCTTTTGGTATGACGCGGCCGGGGCTCTCCGGGCGGACGCTCTACCACTAGACCACGGAGGCGGTCCTGAATGGCAATAAGGCACATGTAATGCAAATTAGCTGCATTATTTCCTCCCTTGGCAATCAGAAAAAGAATGATGTGCACTAGCCACTGCATTACCTCCCTTGACAGTTGATGCAAACTAGCCACATTATTACCTTCCTTGGTACAAGACACAGCTGATGCAAACTAGATAATGTCCCCTATAGAACTATCAACGAAGCGTTGCATTGGCGCTATCATTCTATGTGCATTACAGCCAAGGGGAAATAACTCTTTCAACTGAATTGTGAACCGCACTAATCAAAGTAACGTTTCCAGTAAAGGAGCAATCAAATAACAAGTGTCAAGTGTAAGGAAGGAATGCAAGCTGGCTGAGATAAGCTTATTGCAACTTTGGTTGTGATCAAACAACGGAAGGCGTCTCGACTCTGCGAGGATTTGCCCTGCGTCATAACTATATTCCATTAACTGGTATAAGTAAAACGGAAAAAATACTAGAAGACGATCAGCACGTTAAAAATATCGTTACCATTATACGACATATACTGAAAGCATATGAAGTATGTAATACCAGTGTCATCGTTCATTTTTCACCTAAAGTTTGCAGTTTTTCGGAAACTGTTTTCAGCCCTGTAACATTTTGATAAAGATTTTAATTTTGGGGTCAACTCCAACTATCAAGTCTATATTCTCTTTTGCCCGGCAATTTATGTACAAGTGTATGTAATGTTGTGTCACTAATTCAAGTCACATTGTAGTAGATTTTTTCTAGTCAGAATTTGTTTATATTTAAGGATTCATCATCTTCCGGAATAAGAAGGACTTGTCTTTGGCCTTCGAGAGTAACGCCAACTTTACCGAGGACGGCAATGGCGGGTTGACAGTTAGTCGGCAAGATAAAGACGTTGTCGGATTCTTCCCCTCAGGTACAAAGGGAAGTGTGAGCTATGTAGAGTGTGTAGTGTTTGTAGTGTCGGTGTGTTGTGTGTGTAGTGACGTCGTGTTGTGTTTGTTGTTACGTCGTGTTGTGTTTGTAGTGTGTTCGGCATGCACAGTATGTGGCTGGTGAGTGGTGTGTTATAGTGTGTTGTGTTTGTTGTGTTTGTAGTGTGTTGTGTTTGTAGTGACGTCGTGTTGTGTATATAATGTGTTCGGCATGTATGGTATGTGGCTGGTGTGTGTTGTGTACTCGTGCGTGGTGTGTTCTAGTGTGTTGTATGATCTAGTATGTTGCGTGTTCTAGTGTGTTGTGTATGTAGTGTGTGGTGTGTTCTAGTGTGTTGTGTATGTAGTGTGTTCGGCATGTATAATATGTAGCTGGTATGTGGTGTGTTCTAGTGTGCTGTGCTTATAGTTTGTGGTATGTTCTAGTATGTTGTGTTTGTAGTGTGTTGTGTGTTCTAGTGTGTAGAGTGTTCTAGTGTGTGGTGTGTTCTAGTGTGTTGTGTATATAGTGTGTTCGGCATGTATAATATGTAGCTGGTATGTAGTGTGTCCTAGTGGGCTGTGCTTATAGTGTGTGATATGTTCTAGTATGTTGTATTTGTAGTGTGTTGTGTGCTATAGTGTGTAGTGTGTTCTAGTGTGTGGTGTGTTCTAGTGTGTTGTGTTTGTAGTGAAGTCGTGTTGTGTATGTAGTGTGTTCGGCATGTATATTATGTGACTGGTGTGTGGTGTGTTCTAGTGGGTTGTGTGTTCTAGTGTGTGTTGATTGTAGTGTGTTGTGTGTTTTAGTGCGTGGTATATGATGTGTTTGTAGTGACGTCGTGTTGTGTATGTAGTGTGTTCGGCATGTATAGTCTGTGGCTGGTGTGTGTTCTAGTGTGTGGATTGTTCTAGTGTGTGGTGTATTCTAGTGTTTAGTCTGTTCTAGTGTGTGGTGTTTTCTAGTGGGCTGTGTTTGTAGTGACGTATTGTGTATGTAGTGTGTTCGGCACGTATGGTATGTGACTGGCGTGTGGTGTGTTCTAGTGTGTGGTGTTCTAGTGTGTGGTGTTTGTAGTGAGGTTGTGTGTTCTAGTGTGTTGTGTTGGTAGTGTGTTGTGTGTTCTAGTGTGTGGTGTGTTCTAGTGTGTTGTGTTTGTAGTGTGTTGTGTGTGCTAGTGTGACGTGTGTTCTAGTGTCTGGTGTGTTCTAGTGTGTTGTGTTTGTAGTGCGTTGTGTGCTCTAGTGTGTTGTGTTTATAGTGAAGTCGTGTTGTGTATGTAGTGTGTTCGGCATGTATAGTATGTGACTGGTGTGTGGTGTGTTCTAGTGGGTGGTGTTGTAGTGTGTTCTAGTGTGTGGTTGTTTGTAGTGACGTCGTGTTGTGTATGTAGTGTGTTCGGCATGTATGGTATGCGGTTGGTGTGTGGTGTGCTCTAGTGTGTGGTGTGTTCAAGTGTGAAGTGTGTTCTGTATGATGTGTTTGTAGTGACGTCGTGTTGTGTATGTACTGTGTTCGGCATGTATAGTTTATGTATGTAGTGAAGTGTTGTGTGTGAGGTGTGTTCTGGTGGACGGTATGTGGTTGTTGTGTGGTGTGTTCTGTGTGTTATGTTTACAGTATGTTATGTATGCAGTGTGTTCGATATGTATGGAATGTGGCTTGTGTGCTCTAGTGGGTAGTGTAGTATGTGTGGTGTTATGAGTGTATCGTGTATCATCCGTGCCCTCGCGTTGTTAACGGTCGAGTTTATGGTGTAAACCGTGCTTTTTTAAGTGTCGTGTGTTAGGTACATGCAGTTTGTGGTTTGTTGTGTGGAAACATTAAGAACATAGGGTGTTATAAAATTCCCAAACGGTGGTTTGATAGTTTGGGTATCCGAGCTAATACAAAGGCCCTGTCCCAGCAGAATAATTACAACAGAAAGGAAAAAGCATACTCATTGTTTTCTGTCGTCCGTGTAAACATAATGAAATATTAAATAGATCGGCTAAATACCACATGTATATCGTTGGACTTTCAGGAGTCTCCGTGCGAGTGGTGCTGGGGCCTAAGCTGCTCACTGTCTCCGTGGGAATGCCGGCTGGTTTTAAGAACAAAGTGAGAGGGCTGATGGGAAATTTCAACGATGACAAGTCCGACGACCTTACTTTTCCAAATGGAACAATTCTAAATATTAACTCACCAGAGAGGGCGATATACCAATTCGGGCAAACGTGTAAGTATTTCTTATGTTCGTATATGTCATCCTATATTTTGGTCCTAGGACAAATAGGTACCTCAGTACACTATACTTGGCATGGTAAGTGATTTGCCGGTCATGTCAGCTGAAGATGATGAATACTAATCGCCGATGTACCTAACAGGATCCGCTGATCATGGATTCGAACTCAGACTCGGGTAAGCATGTCCTGGTCTACCGGCAGCACCCGTCACTCACAGTTTTCATTTTAAAAAAGTTGTTGTATTTTTGTTTGTTGCTTAACGCCGTACCCAGCAACACTCCTTCTCTACGACCACGGCCTGTGAACAAGCGAGTACCAGAAGTGTAAGCTGGTGTGTATACTCCATGTAAAGGTCGTAGCATGAGGTACAATCTTACATCATGCAGACATGCATGTCATATTAAGTACACTCCTCCAAAATAACTCCATTAATTTCCGGAATGACGAAACCTTGATTGAAAGGCTTAGTGAATGAATGAGTTTATTCCGTTAAGGGGCCACCGGTCCCATTATACAATTGCAAGTTACATTGATTCTGACAGTTCACCTGTACAGAGCGGACCGATCCATAAAACGTCCACAGGCCACGAACATTCGTGAGTCTAAACTCCTCGAAGTACACAGGAGGAGGCACAAATGGTTACTAAGGCCTATCATAACCTACGTATGCCCTGTACTGTGGATCGGATCCCAACACATGTTGGCAACAATCAGTTGTAACGCTCAGTTGTAAGCATTCGTTCGTTCTGAGCAGCCCGGGTTCAATTCCACACACGGATACAACATGAAGCCCATTTCTGGTGTCCCCCGCCGTATTATTGCTGAAATATTTTTTAAAAGCAGCGTAACCTCTCACTCACTCACACTAGTCTACTACTTTCCCACCATCTGTTTTCAGGGCAGATCAACTTGACAGAATCTCTCTTTATGTATCCACCACGGAAGAACGCATCCGACTATTACCACCCAGACTTCGAGCCTCTGTACTATGACGAGGCAAGCGAGGCAGATAGGAATGCCTCTATTGCTGCATGTGGCGGGGACGAGAAGAACTTGCCCTGTATATTTGATTTCCTGGCGACCGGAGACCAGGCTGTTGCAGACTCTACTAAGCAGACGGACGAGGGTGTCAAAAAGGAGCGAGCCGAGCAATGTAAGTGGGACGGCCCTGTTTAACATAACATTTGGAGATAAACATTCGGTGTTTTCAGATTTGCAAATGTTGTTTAGTTATTTGTACTGAAACACTTTACAGTGCATCGTGGATTTTGACTCTTGATAAGTAACAAGTGCTGGGAAGATTTTATTTAGGTATGACATCGTGAATGAGAATTTAAAAGATCTTCAGGCCTCACTACCACAAACCCATTTCTTTGTTTTCTATCAGGTGGCTGACAATTATGTATACAGTGTACAGTACACACTTTTATTTGATGCTGCTTCTTACCAATCTTATATCATGTTGTTGGATTGTTAGGTGTTGTCTGTCATGAAGTGGCTAGAATGTTTTCTATATGAGTTTGTTTGTATCATTTTTGAATGTGATATTCAATCTTGCCATATGAACACATTTGGTGTGCAGCCAACACGATACCGTCCATCTCTTCCAACGCCACCGTCCTGCACGTGACTGTCGGACAGGAAACTATCTTCTCCCTGAACGCAACAGACACCGACAGCGGCGACACCATCACCTACGAGGTTGTGGACAAGCCAGACGGTTTCAACCTGACAGAGGCTGACCAGAGTGGAAACGAGAGAAGTGCCCAAGTCTCCTATACACCAACGTCCACTAGCCCTGGTAAAATAAGGTGAGTGGGTCCGAAGCCAACTATCCGGAATCAATGTATTTCTCAATCGCATGATCAAATGTTTCAGAACTAAATTTAGCGTAGGTCATCAATACAGTGACTTAATCTTTGGTTTTCAATCGGATGCGGAAGTAAAATTTCCACCTGGGTACTTAAAACACAACTTAATGCATCTTTAATTCTCAATCTCATGGCAAACTAAATTCAGCATAGTGTATCAATCTTTTGGTTCAATATTATGTTTTCAATGAAATGTCAATTCACATAGTTCGTAAGAATGGTCGTAAGATTCTAATTAAATTGACTGTGTAAACCACAGGTTACAACAGTTGAGTCATCAGTTGTATAATACCATCTTCCCGAGGCAAGGCAGTTAACTGACTATAAAAGTCAAGTTTCCACCCTTGCCCAACTAGGCTGGTATTATGGAGTTACAGTTTGGCTTGGCTGGAAAACGAGTCTGTGTATAGTCCAATCAAAATCAACATCCGGTTTGTACAAAATATGTATTTCAAGGTGCAAATTTCACTCGTCTGCAGGATTTTCAAAGGATATGTACCGTAAAATGGTCGTCGACAGATATTTTCCAAATCTCTTCCTGTTTTTAATCAATGTGCTCACGTGAGGCACTTCGCGAGGTAGGACCTGTTCTGTTACAATATAGATCTTAATCATTGATCATATCGTCTTGATTGGGCGCTGCCAATTTTTTAAGCAAATGTAAGTGATATGATAGTTGGAATCTGATTGGCCAATAGGAGGGACATAGAAGTGACATAACTCGTAATAGCCACTGGTGGCGCTACAATCGAGCCTGGAAATTCCAGACTAGTTCGGCAAGGGTGGAAAGTGGACGTTTTTATCAGTTATAACTCCCTTGCCTCGGGAAGATGTAACCATACATGGTTACCACCATTGTGGTGTCGTTGCTTTGTCTCCTATAAACTAGAAACATACTCCAACCGGTATCATCATCCACGCTAGTGTGTTATTAAATAGCAATTATTATATCCACTGATACTGATGAATCACGAAGCTCCATCTATGTCCACAGCATTGTAGTAAAGGACTCAAAGAACACGTCGTCGGAGACTGTGGACATTAAGATACGGCTCTGCGACGGTTGCTCAGGCAATGGGTCTTGTGACTTCACTCGCACGCGCGCCGACCAGAACACGGGGGCGTCGGCATCGTTCGAGATTGCGGCTTGTGACTGTGACATAGGATTTACAGGTAACTGAGATCAGTTTAGTTTCAAATAGAGCAACAAAACTATTTTCATAATCATAAGAAATATCTGCTGAAAGCAGAGTCTATTGTACGCTTCTGACTACATCATCAGCATGTGTTTATGAACCACTTGCAAACTGTGATGTTGCCATGAGTAAACCATCGTCTGCAACATCATAAACACCATAAGCTACTAGGTATACACCCATGTTTGATGGTGACTAAAAATGAAGCAAGAGTTTGCCACTAACGTGGCTATATTCCCCACCGCTGTTGCAGAGTTTATGACATAGTTAAATGTAAACAAACCCTAACAAAAACAAACCCTAACCTTTTTCAACCGAGGTGTAACTTGAGTTTGCCACTAACGTGGCCGAGTCTCCTGCCCAGCAAATGAAGTGTATATTATGTCAACAATAGTGAAATTTGATCACACAAACACATACTTTTGAAAATATTCAAAATTTTGTACGGAGTAAAAGGCAGCAGGGGAGCATCTACTTGATACTAAATGCCAAATATCGCGAGGAAACCAAATAAAATGTTGCAAGACACAATTTCTGGGAAGTTCAAGAAAAAAAATGAAACCTTCCCCACAAAAACATGATGGAAGTACAAACTGACAAAACCAGTTACTTCATTTACTACTGAATTCATTAGGGTGAGAGAAAGAAAAAACAATACACATTTTGACTCGTAATAATATCTACATGGGATATTTGTTAAAACACATAAATGGTATTAGTTTGTGATATGTGACTATGGTCATTACCAGTTCAAACCCAAGATGTTGCTTTGGACATAGTAGATTAAATGCAAAATATTAAGATTCAAAAAGTTCAGTTCATTACCACATTGATTAACATACAAAGAAATAATGATAGTCACTTCAATATACTACACCTATTCCGTCACACCCCACACAAGATGATGGTCAGTGGATGCAACTGGAAAGGTTCTAGTTGAGATGGGCTCATTACAGAAGATCTAGTCTAGTGTACCCCCAAGGGTGTGGGTTGGCTTGCTGATATACTGTGCGAATGTAAACTACTCCATGAGTTTCCATAGTTCATTGTTGTCACGGACAGACTGGTCCATACTGAAGTCTCCAGTGATAACAATCCTATACTGATTGAGAGGCAGCTGCTCCAGCAGAGTTCGCAAGTGAATGAGGAAAGTTCTCCTAGATGATGATGGTGCCCCATAGATGACAACAACCAAGAGAGTAATACTGGCCTCAATGTAGCATTCGAGAGCCTCTACAGTAGGAGGTATCTGTAGTTTTGTTGCCTCTCTGTACTGAAGGGCATCTTTGATTTCAAGACAATTCTATAAATGTGAATGCTAAAACTCTACAGCACAAAACGAAAGTTATCCTCAACCATTTTTGAGGCACATACTGACAACTTGGTAGAAGTTTCCCCTACTATGGGAGATACTTCCAAATGATGACAAACACAAAATGTAGGCACACAAAAAAACTTTATTATGACTAATAAGATTCCTTAAACAGGTTAAATGGGTATCAAGTTGAATTTTTGGGCATTTAAAAGAAGAATTCATAAACTTCAACTTTAACTTGTTGCCAGAGAAAAATAAAAAACTGTAAATTTTATAAATAAAACATGCAAAGTTTCATGAAAAAATATTTAACGGTTTCTGAGTTATGCTCCGGAGACGAAACGTGACGTACGGACGTTCGAAAGAACGGACCGACGGACATTCGGAAGGATGGGCGGACGGACGTTTGGAAGGACGGACGGATCCCGTTGGGCGGGGGCTAAAAAGAAACCATAAGATATGGTTTCTTATTATATGGACCTCGTTGTTGTGTTTGCGACCAAAGTTTGCAGTGTTTTGGCGACTGTCTGTAGCCTTGTAACATTTGGTAACGTTTGAATTATTTTGTCAAGTCCAATTTTCGAATGTCTACTTTCTTTTGCTCGGAAGTCTTATACCTTCAGTTCTCTCTATGCAATACTCAAACTATCATTACATTATTATATAAATCGAACTCTATAATCTTTCACATGAATATCATTGTCCAATCCTCTGGTAAGCTAGCGAGGCCAATTTTTATGAATACAATGTTCTGTGTTCTCCAGATGCCGACTGTAGCCAGGATGTTGACGGTTGTGACAGTTTGCCGTGTTTCACTGGCCAGAACTGCACCGACCTGGTCCCGGCGGAAGAGAAGCGCCTCGGACGGGGCTACAACTGCAGTGCCTGTCCTGGGGGATTCCAAGCACCTGGGGACAAGTGTGAAGGTAAATTCTACTCTTCTACACAACAATTCCAAAGATTATACTCATCCCGGATTAGACAGACCACTTTCCACGACACACCGAACCCAAACGTGTGAAGTATTAAATAGTTTTAGCAAACTATTTTAGAACCTTTATTTTTTATATTTCTTTCAATCTCGGGACAAGTGTGAAGGTAAATTCTACTCTTCTACACAACAGTTCTAAAGGTTATACTCATTCCTGATTAGGCAGAACGCCATTTCCCACGACACATCGAGCCCAAACTTGTCCATGTGAAGTATCAAATTGTTTTAGCAAACTATTTTAGAACCTTTATTTTTTTTATTTTTTTTTTTTTTGAAGCCTTGTTCAATGTGATGGTGAGAGTGAGTGGGTTGGGTTTAACGCCGCTTTGAACAAATGAGTCGGTGCGGTTTACACCGTTTTTAACAATATGTCACCCATATCATAGAAGGGACACCAAGGATTTCACACAAAATATATATGTTGGGAATCGAACCCGGGTCATTTTCAGGACCAGAAACCGCTTTAACTATCGGGGCGACGTGTTGATGTGCAAATGACTTGACTACCGTCAGTATTAACATCACCTGTTGCGGTGTGAAACAAATTATGTATTTTAATTCTGTATGATATCCTTTCTTGTAATCAGATATCAATGAATGCGAGACATCAAACCCATGTGACCAAAACTGTACGAATACACAGGGAAGCTACCGGTGTTCGTGTATGGCCGGCTATAGGCTCGTGAACAACGTCTGCCAAGGTAAGCCAAATGACAATGTAGTGAGTGAGTGAGTGAGTGAGTGTTGCGAGAATAAAACACTGATCCATTGGCCAGAGTAATGATTTGTGTCTGTCGCTTAATATTGCATTATAATTGAGTTTAGACACATTTCAAGAAAGTCTCATGTTGTGAACAGTGGGACAAAACTTCCCGGTGATCGGTTATTAAATACAAATGGGTACAATGCGTGAAGCCCATTTCTGGTGTCCGCCACGTGATATTGCTGGTATATTGCTAAAAGCGGTACTCACTGACTCACAATTAAATACAGAATTATGACAGTACAAAATGAACATGTTGCGGTTACAGACATTGACGAGTGTGTGGAGAACCTTCACGACTGCCAGCAGGTCTGCAACAACACTGTGCCTTCCTTCGTCTGTGATTGTAATTTTGGATTCGAACGGGATACAACTGACTTGAAGAAATGTGTGAAAGGTAGATAGGCGATTCCTCCCTCTCTAAATGGTGATCATGTTTCTAGATAAACCTACTGCAACTCATTTAAAAAAATATCTGTACATAAAACTAATAATAATCATAATCATGGTTTATATAGCGCCACCATTCACGCTGTCTGTTGAAAGAGTCCGAGTCAAGACAGATCATGAGAAAGCCTGTCTAAAATTCAATGTTTTATCTATTACTTTGTAGATGATAAGTTTAGGAGTGTTGTTTTTTGCCGGTGGTAGATCATTCCGCGATGAAGCTGCTGCGTGTTAGCTTGACACATTGACCACGTGGGAGATCGAACCCCTGCCTTCCGCCTGATTAGTGGGCCACCCTACCGCCCTTGCAATAATAGACGTTATCTCGTGATCACATAGTCCGCTTACGCGACAAGCATGGCCAACCGAGAACCTAGTATTCTACCTGAATCACAACAGGGTCCATATGATCAGATATATCCAAGTAAGATAATTAAAGCCACAAGATAAGTGCCAGTTCTATTCTTTATCTGATTATATTTCATATATTTCAGATCCAACGGCAGAAAATCCTTGCTTTCCTACAAATTGCAGCTACGGCTGCTTGAATGACACTGCCAAGTGTTTCTGCGAATCTGGATATGAAATTGACTCAACTGACAACAGCACATGCAAAGGTATGTTTTCTCCCCTAATTTTTAATTTCCCCATACTTTAACTCCAGATGATTATCTGATTCTCTAACTTGTTAAACTTTTATTAATGGACATGAATCCAAGGTTTACATAGCACATACAGGTTTAGATGTTCAAAATAGTATCAGTATTATTTTTCTGCAATCGTTATACATACAATGTCTTGTTAATAATTAGGAAAATATGCAAGTGTAATCCCATCAACTGATGCCTTTTAAGAGCGTGATTGGGTTACAAACAAACACTAAATGTGTGATTGGCCGTGCCTGCCGGTAGAGTCGGACATGCTTGCCCTTTTCGCGAGCACTTGATGTCATCACTTGCTTTCAGTGATCCATTCATATAGTCTTCATCGCTGTTTTGCATTTAACGACCAATGGAATCAGTTTCGGCAGATAAGCACCATTGACTATTCTAAAGGTTTATGCCTATCAAGATAGCTGGGAAGGATAGTAATATCCTGATTGATAAAACTGTGAAGGCCACAAGTGACACCAGTTGAGTCGGTGAAATGAGACGTTCGTCGTCTACGCTAGGACATTATGAGTTACATAGAAAAGGTCATCAGTCGTATGATGCTGCCAAACACATATTTATGTGCGTCGTTAAACGATTCCGTTAACAGCATTATGGTTCAATTGGTTACCTGTGCATGGATTGGCCTGTTAGCTGTGATCTGCTAGGGTTGAGAGCTCGGATGATGCTGTTATTGGCTTGTTATCAGATATCAACGAGTGCGACCAGAATGTGTGTTCCCAGGGCTGCAACAACACCGACGGGAGCTTCGTCTGCACGTGTCTCGATGGCTACCTGTTGGCTGCAGACAAGGTGACATGTGAAGGTAAGGTAATATTCATTACGTGTTAGCCAACTTTTATGTTTTTATGTTACAAGACAACGTATGAGTTTCGTTTTAAGCCAATTTTAGAAACAGTCCACGACGGAAGCAAGAAATGGGCTTTACATATTGTACCCGGACATTTGGCACGATGAGCGAACACTAACCCGCACTGCCATCCCACCACCTCCAGACAATTGACTCTCTGTAACATACGTATTCAGAGATAGAACTGACCACGAGTATGTGAATTTTCACAGCATGCGAAGACTTGAACTACGGCAAAGACTGTGCCCTCCGCTGCGACTGTGGCGACCGTTCCACCAGTTGCAACAACGTTAGGGGCTGCATCTGCAAGACGGGTTGGAGCGGAACTAAGTGCGACAACGACATCAACGAATGTGAGGAAGGTCCATGTCCAGCGGGCCAACTATGCACCAACACCAGGGGATCATATACCTGCGCATGTCCAACGGGATACGACAAGCAAGCTAATCAGTCATGCACAGGTAGGGCAATACTTTTGTATCTCTTTGTTTTTTTTCTTGGCCGCAATCAGCAATTTTCCAGCTATATGATATCGATCTGCAAATAATCGAGTCTGGACCAGACAATCCAATGATTAACGTCATGAGCAATTGGGATACGATGGCATGCATCAACCAAATCAGCCAGTCTGACCATCTGATCCCGTTTCTCGCCTCTTCCGAGAAGCATGAGTTTCCGAAGACCAATTTTAATCCGGATCTTCACAGGATCGTTGGTATCTCTCAGTTGGACAAAGGTACAAATGGTTCCACTGTTGATGGTTTCTTGTTTCGAGAAGCATAATGAGTTGTTTTAACCTTGCAGACAAGAACGAATGCGTCACGGATGCCAACACGTGTGATCAGATCTGCACCAACGTCCCCGGGTCCTTCACGTGCTCCTGCAGGGCCGGATACACAGAGGACAGCCAGAAGAAGTGTGCAGGTGAGGAACAATTCGGGACGTCTCGTGTCAATCAATCAATCAGTCAATCTTTATTCATGGTACTGATGAGGCCAAAGGCGTGTTACAAATTCATACATTTTCATGTACAGTTTCATAGCATGGTAAATGAACATTGATAAATTTCTCATAGTTTCTGCACAATCACAAGTCATTAATTTACAAAATTTGTTACCGTTTGGGTTATGGTAGAAAAAGTTATTTAAATATTTCGCTCTTAAATCATTATACACTGGACATAAAAAGTGATATTCATCTTCAATACAACAAATCCTACAAAGTTTGTGATCTCTTGCAATACCTTCATATCTGCCTTTTTCAATAAATAGATCATGTGAGCCACAACGAAATCGAGAAAGCTGTTCTAAACTTATGTTAATTTACACTTAATAGATAAGGTTCTAGTATAATAGTAGCCTTAAATGTAGTGTAGTAATTTGCTTTTCTAGAACTGGACAAAGAAACATTGCCATTTTTGGATGTATATATCTTTTAAGGTCTGTGTCAAACGGGTGAAGAAATGCTGTGGCATATCTACATATTGCTGTAAACAAATATAACCATATCCACATTCGTATAACATGTTTTTAACTTTTGATGCCCAATTTTGTTTCCCATGGCTGTCATAACATTTTCTCGTGCCATTCCGGGACAAGCAGAATGGCGACTCATGCCCCTTTCGTAGCCATTTTACAATTCACAACCAGCGTAAGTCAGTAAGGACTTTTTGTATATTGTTTTTACATACAAACTATTCCTATAAACAAAATATATTAAGGAGGGACTATTTGACCAAGGTACATATAGGCTTACGCACTGTTTATTGTTGTTGTAGATATCAATGAATGCACATCCGAACAGAGCTCCTGCAGCCAGAAATGTGTCAATGTCGATGGTAGCTATAACTGTGAATGTGAGTTTGGCTATCGACTTAAGGATGACCGGACGTCTTGTGAACAAGGTAAGCATAAAGAAGTGAATTCATATAAACAAAATTGACTCTTGACAAGAGCCACAATACTACATCCTCGTACCTCATTTATAAAAAAAACTGTAAAAATATATTAATACACAGTCAAACACCGTTGTTTCGAAGTTGAAGTTGAAAATGTTAAATATAGAAGGAATACACAGAGATCAAGATTTTACTTCGAGACAAGCCAAGATTCGACACATCAAAGTTCGACACGAATTTTGACAATATTCAAATCCATTTATCCATATTAATACAATATAACGCTCACTAACACTGACTATAATTCGCATGAGTTAGAGTTACTTATTATCATATTCACTTTATCATGATAAGCTTCCTAAGACGAGTTTCTCAACATGAATTAATTCTTTTCTGGAGTCTCGGTACAGGTTGCGAAACGACATATGGGGAAATAGCCTAAATGGGGTTCCCTCATGAAAGACGAGCGATTGCCTACACATGCACCAAGTGCGAAAGCTTTGTTTATGTAGGCTGTGATACTTCCAACCTCTTGCACCGTTTTAATTTCACTTATGAAAAAACAATTATATGATATTTAAACAAAGAAGTTACGTCAGTATTACCAGTGACTTTGACCTTCAGTGACATTTACTGGTAATTTTGCCTCCAATCATGATAATGCCGCCAATCCAACGAGTGAGTGATTTCCATGAGCATTTGTAGTAATTCCGATTTACAGAGGCCACTTCAGGCGCTTTGACCTCTTCACTTATCTCTAATGGCACAACGATACTCTAGTTAAGCAACGTATTAGCGTCCACATGTACTACAGTGACCTTGACATTTAGGAATTATATTGGTTGTTCATAATATATTAATTGTGAATGTAATTCTGCAATGTTTCGCAATGCTATTTTGAATTGTATTTGGAGCCGTGTGTTAGGTCGAACGCCGCTTTGAACAGTATTCCAGTTATGCCACTGCGTGTCAGCTTAACGTGGGGGGAAAGCCTAAGTGATGCAGGTATGGGACGTTTACCACTTGATTGAAACCCGAGAGCACGGCTATGGTGCTGACAAACCTAGAAACATAATCGCAGCGAACCGGGATTCGGACCCACAATCATAGGTACCTTGCATGCGGTTGCATGTTTCGGTTTGTTTTGGTCCACGTTTGGTATTCAATTCCTGAGCTGATGTGACTAAAAACAATAACGTCAACTACCTCCTGACAAGTTGGAATGTAGTCAGTGTTGCTCTGTCCATTTCAGCGTAGATTGCGCAGCTTGTCGCAAGGACTGGCGGGTAGTTTTAAGTATCGGAGTCCGGGATAAAATGTTACTCAACTGACCACTACTTTGTCACATTCCAGTGGAGAACGTCTGCGCTGAAGTAAAGAACCTGAACTGTGACCAGGGCTGCACGGTCAAGGCGGAAACTGAAGAGGCGTTTTGCTTCTGTAACCTTGGTTACAAACTGGGAACAGACAAAGAGACGTGTATAGGTGGGTCTTCTGTCGCCAAGGGAACTGACAGATTTGGTTGGTTTGTTGTTTTACGCTGCAATCAGCAATAGTCCATCTATTTGGGGGCGGTCTGTAAATATTCTAGTCTGAACCAGGCAATCCGGCGATTAACGTCATGAATATCGATCCACGTAATTGGAATACGAGTATTTGCAATCAATCAAGTCACCGAGCCTGATCATTGGACCATGCAGTCTCTTACGGTAATCAAAGGTTGGTAGGGACCAATATTCGAACCCGGAATCCCCAAGAGTTGGGGAACTGCAAGGATGAAGCCACAAATGAAAAGGTGTGTCTGTCGGCGCCCATGGAAACTGCCAAGATACAGTGACACATGTAATATATATAAAACTGAGTCTTCAGTCTCCATGGGAACTCGCAAGATACAGACAGACATGTAAAGGTGAGTCTTCGGTTACCATGGGAACTCACGGAATACAGTCAGACATTTAAAGGTGAGTCTTCAGTCACAACAGGAACTCACAGGATAAAGTTAGAAATGAAAATATGGGTATACACCAAAGCAACTCACAGGATACAGTCAGTTATGTAAAAGTGAGTCTTCGGTTACCATGGGAACTCACGGAATACAGTCAGACATGTAAAGGTGAGTCTTCAGTCACGACAGAAACTCACAGGATAAAGCTAGAAATGAAAATATGGGTCTACACCAAAGCAACTCACAGGATACAGTCAGTTATGTAAAGCTGAATATGTCGATACACATGGAAACAGGACAAATATTAAAGTTGAATCTTACCGCCACAGAAATAGTTTTTATTATTTATAGTTAATAATGAACTTCAGCGTTAATATGTAAATTGTAGCTAAAGGTGATGCTGTGATTGGTTTATCTGGTAAATGATAAGGCTCATCAATGATCGATAAACTTTCTCTTAAGGTGGCTCTCTTCTACAGATATTGTGGAGTGTGACAATCCGGAGCTGAACAAGTGCGTTAACGGTACCTGTGAGAACACCATTGGAGGCTTCAACTGCAGTTGCCCAATTGGCTTCAAACTCGACAATGATAAAACCACGTGCAGAGGTCAGTGTGTGTTTTATACCAAGACAAGCATTGCTCTGACACAGCCCCCTTTGTCTTTCAGAAAGGTGCATGAGGTGGTAAGGATGCACTTGTTTAAATATTTAGGTTACTACTTGTATTCTTGTATGTTCGTCATACGTTTGTAGTCACCTGCGATGACCATGCTAATCTTTGGGGTTATAAAAAGCCGCCATTCCCGTTCCTAACTGTGCTCGAACACCAGCTATTATGATCCCTCGCCTGTCAGCCCCGTTCTCAGGTGTTTTCGCAAATTGTAACTGTGATACTGTTATTAACGGTATGTATTTCTGTTATCTCAAAAATTGTATCTTGTTGCCAAATAGTAAATAGTAATTAGAATTAACCGCAAGTATTTGGCATCATTATCAAGTTATTAAAATATATGAGTACATTCCGAAAATAGTACTGCAACCGATAATACTACATTTGAGTGGCGTAGCTAATAATGGCAAAAAAGGTAAGCTTCACTCTGAAATCAATTGTTTAATAGGCATTTCTTCGAAGTTGACAGATGACAAAAACTTAAACGATCTTGATCATACTGTAACGGCGACGTTTCGGTATTGATCCTTATATCGTTCTCAAGCAAAACTGAATATTGCATAATACAGAATAATACGGTGGGTCAAGGAATAACGGTAACAACAACTACCATAATGTTCTTCTTTTAAGTCGATTGTTGTTGTTACATTGTCTCTGACCTGTTTACAGATTGACCCGACTACCAGTATAAAATTGTGGTTGATGAATTGGTTCAAAATTACTGTGTGTGCTTGTTTCATTAGTTGAGAATACCTAAGTATGATTAAAACAGTGTGTAATATCCAGAACGTGGAAGGGATATGTTTGATATATCTTTGTTTCAGACTGTCAGTGGCTGTGGTTGGTCTGTGTTTGATAAGCGTTATAAATGTTTGATCAAAAGTACTGTCACATTTCTGCTTACATTAACAATGCCCCAAGCAACGCCCCTGTATTTGGCTTGAACAGAACACTCAGGGGTCACATGCTGTTTTTTGTTCAGAGTGCGATGACCAACATTGGGGGCAGGAATGTGCCAACGAGTGTGGGTGTGGCGTGGGCGCTTCCAACTGCGACTCAAAGGAGGGATGTCAGTGTCAGGACGGGTGGTTGGGGCTGAGGTGCGATCAGGACAGGAACGAGTGTGTACAAGTAGCCGTGTGTCCGCAGAACTCCGACTGTGTCAACAATCCTGGTTCCTATAGATGCGTGTGCAGGACCGGCTACAGGCTCAACAACATCACCAACATCTGCAACGGTGAGACGACGTTGGAGTAAACAAAGCTTTGACAAATAGTGCATTTCTGTTTTCTTTTTGACAAATTATTCGTATTGATTAGATAGATTATCGGTTAATTAATATAGAAAATCCCATAACAAATTCTAGCTGATCTGCTGATTCGACATCTCTTTCTTCAAGCACTATAACGTTACACTGCCTTCTACATCAAACGTACGATACATGATTGAAGGAGAAGGTAAAGAAGTTTGAATTTTAGAGACAGTATATTTCTGACAGTTTAATCGGTACTCAAAAGGAAATTTTAAAAATTCGACTGGGATAGAAAGAAGTTAATTCTTTGGACACAGACATTGCATCTCATAAACTCATTAATGACGTTCATTGTTAGACTTAACATATGACATTAAAACAGCTGCTCGTGACTTTAATTGCTGATCCCTTTTAGTTGTTGCTTTTGGTGGGTGACAACATGCAGACCAGTTAGCTCACCCTCTACACCCTCAACTCCCTCCACGTGTAACATTTGTCATTGATGATCTTGTATGTTTATTTATTCAGATATCAACGAATGTGATGAAACAGCATTGAATACATGTGACCAGAAATGCGTTAACAATGAAGGCTCGTTTGTCTGCGAGTGCAACGCTGGCTTCGTCCGGACGGCGGATACATGTAGAGGTCAGTGTTGGCTGGACCTCACACTAGGTCTACTGGCATCATTATGTGCTCACATCAACCAATACTACTACTACTACCACTACTACTACATTCTACTACTACTACTACTACTACTACTACTACTACTACTACTACTACTAAAAATTAAATCATTTATATTATTGAATTTTCGGTCCCTTTTGACACTAATGTGTTTGACAAGATTCAGGAAAAACATAGCAAATAGCTTTCGTAACGTCACTCTTGCATCCCAAGTACCAAGTTGTCCCCCATTGTTCTCGGTGCCTTAGGTTTGGTACCTCCCAATCTGTTGACTGACATTGGGAGAGAACCCGTGTTTGCTGCCAGAAATACAGCCCTTCTGACAATCGGGGTAATGCAGAAGGCTGCAGTATTGCGGAGTCTTCACATTCTCCGAAAACTGGGCTGCGTGTAGAGGGGGCAAGGGCCCTGAGCTGATGCTGAGCCAAACCAGCCTCTCTGTGTCAAGATCACCCCAACCCTCTTAGCTGCATTTATTTATTTTAATCTGTATAAAAATAAAATAATAACAGAATTTGTTGAGCGACTAACTTCCAGCTCTGCTAGCTTAATTATGTGCATGAAAAAATAGTGTTTTTCTAAACAGTAGTCAGTAGTTTGTTTTCTTGCTCGTTTTCTTGAAAAATATGAATACACAATAGATGACTGTAAATTGTTGACGTTCAGTTTAAATGGTTTTGCACCAATTTTAGCAATATCACCGCGGGGGACACAAATGATATACCCATTTGGGGAATCAAACCCGAGTCTTCGGCGTGGCGAGCCAGCGCTTTAACCACTAGGCTACCCCACAACCGATGGTGACATGTGTTGACGTTGACGTTGTTGTTGTTACAGATGTAGACGAGTGTGAGACCGGGAAGGACGACTGCCAGCACATCTGCAGGAACACTGTTGGGGGGTATGCATGCAGCTGTCGGCCTGGCTTCCGGCTCCAGGCTAGCGACAGACGCTCATGTGTAGGTCAGTGATCCATGGCCACAAATGTGACTTATATCCAATAAAACACTGGAGCTTTAACACAGCTCATCTGGTACTGTGACCCACGCACGATTATGTAGAGAACGTCCCATCCCACCCCGATGTTCAGCGCAGTCGGTCGCCTTATCCGTTTACTCAAGCCTATTTTTATGTAATTGTGTCATTGAAACGTTCAGCGTCAATGCCCACCTTATCCCTTCTTGCAAACCCATGTTTATGTTATGGCATCATGGCCAGGTTCAACGTAAAATTTCGCTTATCTCTTCCTTGAATCCCGTCTTTACGCTGTAACGTTTTCGAGCGATCAGTTTCATGGCTCATTTTAACCCTTGCTTCAAGCCTGTGTTTAGGAGATTGGATGGTGTCAGGAAAATGTTCAGCTTCATAACTCACCGTACGTTTCCTTTAACACCGTAGCCCGACGGCGTGATTGTTGCTCACAATATCGATCACTGGACTGTCTGGTCCAGACTTTATTATTTACAGTTATATATGGCTGTGTGCGGCGTTAATAAACAAACACACATGCACACGCACACGCACACACTTCAAACGCGTCATGGCATATGCAGAGTCATAGCCGCTCATCTCATTTCTTCTTTTACATAAGCCCGTCTTAATGTTAGCTCACCTTACCACACACTCTTGTTTTACAGCGACGACCGTGTGTACGACTCTTCAGTGTGAACAAGGATGTCAGGTCGATCAGGGGAACCAGTCCTGCTTCTGCAACAGCGGGTTCAAGGAGGACCCTTCCAACTCAACACTCTGCGTTGGTGAGTTCTACAGTTACAGTCATTATTAACCAATATGTCAGATAAACAAAATTAAGTAGTAGCAACGTTCGTGATCGAAAATGGGACAACTCCGATATATCGGTTCAGTTTTCTACCGTTGTGTGTTCCCTGTTAACACTTATTTATTCCTTGTGTTCTATTCCCTTCTGCACTGGGGGTGTATGGGTTAAACGATGCACTGTAATATATTCATGTTAAGGACGGAACATGCTGAGTGAGTGAGTTTGGTTTTATTCATTATCATTCGGGGTTCTGCAATTACTATCAGGGGATCAGCACGGCTAGCAATAGGGAAGCGACGTGACGCGTCGTAAACCAGAAGGCCAGTCGTGTTCTCGCTCGACTCGTCACACCTAAGTCCCAGGATTGATTCCCCACGTGGGTACAATGTGTGAAGCCGTGACGGAATACTGCAATAAAATCCAAATGGAGTAACCAATGGTCGCCAATAAACAAGTGCACCTTACCCTCCCACGCACTGTTTCTTTTTTTCAAACGGCAAGTGAGTGAGTGAGGTATGTTCAACGTCGCTTTCAGAGCATTTCAGTTACCTTACGTCAGATGAATGGGAGAGAACATCATGCATGCAGATCACTTTGCAAAAGCCCAGAAGTACGGGAATAATCAGCCCGAATTCGAACCCACGATCATTAGATTCCGGCACGATAAACGTTGCAAACTTGCACAGCGATTTCCGGCGTTTTAGACGTCTTGTCCACCCTCACTCACTCTGGCTGATGGGGAAAAGGGGAACACACAGATGTGTTGTCAGAAATAATGTTTCGTCGTAACGAAAAGAGTCACTAAGTTTAATAACGTGATATGTTAACTACTGATAATGGATTTTGTACTGGTGATGTACGACATTTCAGACGTTCCCATACATACATCAGATTGTCTGCTACACAGTGGTACTCTGCTGAACACTGTTTCATACCCGGTTGTGTTGCAGTGTCTTGTTATATAATCGTGTAGTGCACTTCATTATTGCAATGTATTCAACAAGTACTGGACTGGGCTCAACGTCAAACTACGTAAACTACAACAGTTACTGTATGGTTTCAAGTTCAGCACATTTAACATCCATGCAATTGAAATGCTGTCGTGTTACATACAGATGTGAACGAGTGCACGGAAGGGACGGATCCTTGCGCGACAGGGGGCGCCACCTGCAACAACAAACCGAATGGCGGCGGCTATGAGTGCGTTTGTAACAATGGCTTCAAACTCCAGAGTGACGGCGTCACGTGCTTAGGTAGGTGGTTTCTGTAGCACTTACCAAATTCTACCGTAACCTCGCACCTGAAACTTAATATCACTAGAATGTTCCCATGTCTTCATAGAGTTACTTATGTTCGCTTTGTACATACGGACCACACTGCAACGTGTTCAAGGAATAAGGGGGCAAACAAAGACAATTGCGTTTAGTGGCATTTATACATTTGATATGAAGAAAAATATAAATTAATGTATTCCAGAGAATATGTTTTCATCGTTCAAAAATATTTCCATAATCGTAAATAAAAGCGACAAACACCAATAACTTTTCCATTATTACAAGAAAAGCCTGCTAAAAGCAGAATCCACTGCACGATTCCGGCTGTATCATGAGCATGTGTTTATAAATTACTGTTAAAAGTGATGATAGCTGGTGTCCGCGAAATGATGAACGCATCCTGCCCTACCAGTGGCACCTGTCACAAACACATGCAAAGGCAACTCAATGGTAACCCTGATGCACGTGGGAACATATGGTACAAATCAAAATAGGGAATTGCATCGGATATGAGTTTGGCCACTGATGCGTCAAATTTGACTCGTCCCACACGTGTCTACCATAAAACGTTTTGAAAATTTTGCTGAGGACTTGAATGTCGTATCATAAGAATTATCTGCTAAAAATATAGTCCATTACGACTCCGACTATATCAAAACCATGTGTTTATGAATCACTATCAAATATATATCATGACCCTTCTCTCCTCATCAGATTGTGTTCAGGGCACCTATGGCCAAGAGTGCGGGAGCAACTGTAGCTGTAACGTTGCCAATACTGTGACGTGTAATCAGGTAAACGGCACATGCACCTGCCTCACGGGGTGGGAGGGGGTCATGTGTTGCAGCGACGTGAACGAGTGCGACACTTACAACTGTGGCAATAACAGCTTCTGTACAAACACAAATGGAAGTTTCATCTGCGAGTGTGATGACGGATTCGTCAGGACAGCATTCAATGCGTGTGAAGGTGGGTGGATATATCACTTAATGTATCTAACGATATGATAAAGTCCCAAATGATGTCGTATACAATGATCGAGTATGGTTTTACACCTCTTTCAGTAATGTGCCAGCAATATCACAGCGGGGGACACTAGAAATGGGCTTAACACAGGGTATCCATGTAGGATATCGAACCCGACCTTCGGCGTGACGAGCGAACTCTTTAACCACTGGATGGTGTCAAATCTGGACACACCATGTGTCGTATGATATTAATATTAATATTAATTATGAGGCTTAATACACTCGTTAATGCTCAAGCAGTTCTGCAAATATCATGTATCAATTGGCATGACACAAGGAAATGCAATGAGTCTCCATCTACCCATCGCCTAATACGTAGATGTTACTGAAGAAGCAATTCAAATATTTCAGCCTGTGACGCAAACCAGTGGGGTAAGAACTGTGCAAACAGGTGCACGTGTGGCGTCAACTCCGTTAACTGCAACAGTGTTAATGGTACGTGCACGTGTGTAAATGGATGGAAGGGCGATAGTTGTGGTACCGATGTTGATGAATGCACGAACAACGCCACCATATGCTCCGGCACACCCAACTCTAACTGTAGCAACACCGTCGGCTCCTTCTCCTGCAAATGTAACAGTGGGTACCTGGAAAACCCTACCTCTAAGATGTGTGATGGTAAGCACTAGTAAGGTATGGCGTATGGTGACATTCTAAGCTTGTTCAAGTTCAAGATTAATGATTTTCAATTTATGATTATGCTCACTATATAGAAGAGAATGTTCTGTTTCACACAAAGAACTCCACATGGGCCCTAGAGCAAAGTCTCCCTTTAAACACAATATTTGCCTTGGTTACCTAGTGAACAACTGCGGTTTTGTGACAATTCACCAGTCATCTTGTCAGTGCATTTATAGTTCCGTTAGGGTACATTTAGCGTAGACCCACCCTTGTGTATTCATGTAATGGTGTGTACCAGACCCACCAGATTGTGTATTGATGTAACGGTATGTGCCAAACCACCACTGTATGCATTCATGTACATGTATATGCTGTATATTTCAGATGTCAATGAATGTCTGGACGCGGATCTAAACACTTGTACGCAGAATTGCACCAACACTGAAGGAGACCATGTTTGCTCCTGTTTTGAAGGCTACCTGGGCACTGACAACAACTGCACGGGTGAGACATTAGTCAACACAAAAGGAATACACCGATGTGAATATACAGAAAGAGTATGAACATAAATTCTTTTGTTTATAAAACACATTATCACTATGAAGTACTTTCAATTGCAGCTGTGTTTGCAAACTCTTTTCAATCCAAATATCGATCAGTATGCTCTGGTATTTTTAATTATATATATTTTCGTTAAATGTGGACACGCCAAGTGAGCAAATATCTCATTGCGACCTGCGTAATCAAAGGGGTATATCAAAACACTATCATGATTTGGGCAAAGCTTTCAATGCAAACACTTTTCATTATTATGAATCCCTTGCCAGACATTAACGAATGTGAAGTGAACACCACCATCTGCTCCGGCGTGGCCAACTCCAATTGCACTAACACAGGTGGGGCCTACAGGTGTGACTGTGTCTCGGGATTCGCAAAGAACACCACCACCAGTCTCTGTGATGGTAAGTGTTGTCATCGCCGGCAAATGTAGCATCTAGTCCTCAAACCGCAGCAAACACTTTTTTAATGTGGCATTTATGTGTTGTATACTGATTGTAACATGAACATCTAATTGTAACATTTACTACAGTACCTTCTCCCGCTGTAGCATCTCTACTGGACAGTACGTTTAATACCTAACGATAAAAGTAAAATTAATTATTTGCCTTTGGAATCTATATTTCAATTGATCGATGCATCTTGTCCATTAAACATAATTGTATATATATATATATATATATATATATATATATATATATATATATATATATATATATATATATATATATATATATATGCCGTATGTATCATAGGCCGTATGGTTGACATTGTATACTTTTTATGTATGTTTTTATTGCTATGCCTGACTTTTACGTTTTCTTCTTCATCTTTCTTCTGCTTCTCCTTCTTTTCTTCTTCTTCTCCCTTATCATCTTCTCCTTTATCATCATCCTATTACTACTATTATTCTTCGTCAGCACCTTTTTCATATTTTTCTTTACACCTTCGTCTTTTTTTTCTTAACCATCATTTTTATTTTCATCTTTTCTTCTTTATCATTTTGTACTCCTTCATTCATCTTGTTTATCTTCATCATCTTCTTCATCATATTTTTTCTTTATCTTCTTATTCATCATGTTCTCGTGTTCTTCCCATTTTCATCTCCTTACGTCATCATCATCTTCTTCTCCTTAGTCTTCTCCTTTCTCACTTCTCATTTTCTTCGCCATCTTCTCATTTTCATGTTCCTCCTTCTCATCTTCTTCTTCGTCATCTGCTTCTCATCTTTATCTTCTTCTTTTGTATCTTCTCTTTCGTTTTCTTCTTTTTCTTTTTAATATTCATCTTCATCACCTCCTTTATCCTCATATTTGCTATCTTCTTCTTTACCTTCATCATCGTCTTCATGTTATTCTTTTCTTCATCTTCTTATTCTGATATTCTTCTCCTTTATCTTCACCTTTTTCACCTTCTCATCTTCGTCTTAATATTCTAAATTTTCATCTTCTTGTTCATAATCTTCTTATTTCATTCATCTTCTCTTTTGTACCTCCCTTTGTCTTCTTCATCACCTTCTTTGTTTTCTCCTTTTTTACTTCATCTCTCATTCTTATCTTCTTCATCGTCATCTTCTCCCTTATCTTTTATTTTCATTTTCTTCTCCTTTTTTCCATCACCTTCAAGGTCGTCTTCTTCTCCCTTATTTTACCTTCTTATCTTAATTTTTCATCTTCTTTTTCATCATCGTCTTCTTCTCTAACTTCATTATCTTCTTTTCTTCATCTTGATTTTCTTTTTGAAATTCTTCTTCGCCTTTTTCTTGAGCCTTGTCTTCTTCATAATTCTCATTTTTTCCATCTTCATCGTCTCCTTCGTTTTCTTTTTTATCTTATTCATCTTGCTTTCATCATGTTCATCTGCGTCATCTTCTTCTCCTTTATCTTCGCTTTCTTTTTTGTCAACTTATCCTCGACATCTTCTTCTGTTTCAGTTTCTCCTTCTCGTCTTCTTTTCATCATCTTCTTATCTTCATCTGATATGCCTTTTCTGTCTTCTTCATATTATTCTTATTTTCCTCCATTTTCACGTTCGCCGCTTCTTCGTCTTCTCATTTTTATAATATTAATCATGTTCTGGTTTATCTTTTTCTTATCTTCATCTCCTCATCCTTTTCTATCTTCTTCATCACCAATTTCTGCTTTTGCTTCTTTTTCACCTTCTAATCTTTTTCATCTACTTCTTCATCATCGTCATCTCATTCTTCTTTATCATCATCATCTTCTTCTTCTTCATGCGTTTCTCCTTTTCCATCATCTTATTCATCTTCTCTTTTTCTTCGCCTACGTCTTCTCTTTCTTTTTCACCATATTTTCTGCTCATCTTCATCCTCTTATATTTCATCTTCTTGTTCATCATCTTCTTCTCCGTTTGTATCTTTTTTATCTTTTCATCGTCTCCTTCTTTTTTGTTATCTTTATCATATATTTCTCATCTTCGTCTTCTTTGTTATTTTTGTCATCATCTTCCAATTCTCATGTGCACCCAGAACTGAAGCATACTTTTAACGCTGATCCAATCAGATATAACTGTAGTATGTGCAAGTGTAGTATCTACACCTACAGTTTAGCGACCGACTCCGTGGTCTAATTGTAGAGCGTGCGCCCGGGGAGCGAAAGCTCGGGGGTTCCAGCCCCGGTAACGTCATACCAAAAGACTTTAAAATATGGTACTTGTTGTTACCCTGTCTCACGCTCGGCATTAAGGGACTAAAGCATGGACTAGTCGGCTCACAGTCAGTATGCTGTGGGTATTCATGTTATGGTATCTCAGTGGGATAGCACTATACAATCGGCATTAGGAAGGACCAGTACAAGCAGCCACACAGACACAGAAACACACACGCGCGCGCAATAATCATGAGCGCGACATTAAACCCCATTTCACCTCACCTGCACCTTATCATACACTCGTATGTATGTAACATCTTCTTTGTCACTAGTAGCAACTTGTATCATAAACCATAATGTCTGGGTAACACTGCCTATTAATATATCCTTTAAGACAAAAAAATATTTTAAATATAAGCAAAGTTTGACAGCCACAACATTCTTCTTCACGGATCTTGTCATGATTCTAACATTTTTGATTGCATTTGGACGTAGTTTTTCATGTATATTTCCGCAATTAACATGTATTATATGTGGTATCTGTAAATTGTACTTTTTATTTTAATCACTTGTCAGACGTGAACGAGTATAACACAAACATGACCTACAACTAACATAGCATTGAATAACTTAATTGAGAGGCATTTAAAAGTTGGAGTACCAAGTAAGGATAACATATATGGGTGAACAATATATATACATATATATATATATATATATATATATATATATGTGTGTGTGTGTGTGTGTGTGTATGTATGTATATATATATATATATATATATATATATATATATATATGCTTCTCAACCATATTCTGTAATCACTTGCTTGATTATGGTGTTAGAAGCTGCACCATAACGTCGCTCCTAATTGTAATAAGAATTGTGAGAAGTTGTTCATCCATATAACTTATCCTTACATATAGCATTGGAGGCTATAGCTACTCTTACAAGCGTAGCATCCACATTGTTAAAATGTAGCATTCACTCTTGTTATTCGACCAACCATTACAATTACTATAGGAACTTTTATTGTACATCCCTGGTAGTGCCCAAATGTGATCTATGAATCCATTCTTCACAATAGTTTTTATAATGTTCCTCATTCATGGTTACTGTTACTTATCAAGTCATGATTCTTACACTAGACTGATAACATTAAGAACCACATGTAGTATAACTTCTCATTCAACGTCGTCATACTGTCTGCTTTCTTGTGTGACAGATATTGATGAGTGCCAGGACACCAACCAATGTAGCGGTATACCAAACTCAACCTGTAGCAACTCCCCAGGCTCCTTCTCCTGCGACTGCGACAGCGGCTACGTCAAGAACGTCACCACTAACAAATGTGATGGTAAGTCAGATTTCCTTACGGGAACCACACTCCAAACCTCGAAACCCACTAAATACCCACGTGTATGATCAGCTATCACCCAACCTATGTAATACTTCAAGATGTGCTTGTATGGGAGCAGAGATGCACAGGTCACTTTCTTCCGCCGCACATTTGCCCCAAAACACATCTAATTATGCAACGTGGTGCTTTCTTAGGATCGAACACAATTGGTGAAGGTGATCTGGCATCTCAGTCGTCATGATTACGTTAAGCTATTCTTTTCATGAACAAGAGTGAGTAAGTTGGGTTAAGTGCCCCCTTGAAAAACATTTCCGTTATGTTCCGTTTTTTTCTACTTTGATGGTACCCACAAGCTGACAATTTAATGAAAGAGGACCTGAAATTCAAATCAACAGTGTATTCAAGCACATATCGATCACGGCGAACAGCGAACTACACAGCGAACTGCGCTGCCTTAGATGAAAGGGCCACCCGTTACCGTTGCCATTAAAAAAGTCCGTGTGGACCAATTTTCAATTCCATGGTCCTGTGGCAATGTTTCTTTTGTTTATGTGACCTTATAGGTGCTAGGATACAATTGTGCTGTGACATCATAAAGAAGTTTGACGTCAACTTATTTCAGTGAAAATCGCCATGTGTGGGGACTGTTCAAACATATCATATTTTTCTCTCGCTAGTTTTTAATGCAATGAAGAGATTATTTCAAAACCTTTTATCATGCATGGCTACTTTCAATTCATCAGACATTATTTGTAAACCTGCAACACTTATAAGTCGGAAAATGACTCCAAACGTTTGATGCAATGTATTTCTGTAATAAATATGAATTGAAGGAAAACACAAGATTAATACAGAATGTCACCTGATGACATAGCTGGGGGAATATGTTGATATTGGTGTGGAAAACAAGCTCAAGTACATCAAGCCAGTTTTGAAGATCATTACCGCTCTTTCAAGTAAACAATTTTGTAAAAGAAGTATCACTTTTCTTGCTCACGGAACATGTACTATACGTTTTATCTGTAAATTGTACTTTTTATTTTAATCAATTGTCAGACATGAACGAGTGCACCGCAGACATGACCATCTGCTCCGGACTGATCAACTCCAACTGCAACAACACAGACGGAAGTTACAGATGTGATTGTGGCTCAGGCTTCCTTAAGAACACCACCACCGATCTCTGTGATGGTAAGTGAAGTCATCGCCTACAACTATAGCATTGAATAACTTTATTGAGAGGCCTTTAGAAGCTAGAGTACTAAGTTAGGATAATATATATGGATTAACAGTATATATACTTGTCAACCATACTCTGAAATCACTTGCTTGATAACGGTGTATAAGCTACACCGAAACGTCGCTTGTAATATTAATAAAGAAGTTGAACATCCCTATATCTTATCCTTACATATAACATTGAAGGCTGTAGCTTCTCTTACAACCAGAGCATCTACATTTTTAAATGTAGTATTTACTCTTTTAATTGTATCAACCATTACTATCACTGTAGCAACGTTATTGTACGATCCTGGTATTGGCCAAATGTGACGTATGAATCAAACCTTTACGATAAATACAATATGTTTTCTCATGCATGGTTATGGTTACAATAAAATATAAAACTCAAATATTGACTTCACAACTTCCCAAGTCATGTATCAAATCATGCTTCTTACACTAGATTGATAACAATTAGACCCACATGTTGTATAACTTCTCATTCAACGTCGTCATACTGTCTGCTTTCTTGTGTGACAGATATTGATGAGTGCCAGGACACCAACCAATGTAGCGGTATACCAAACTCAACCTGTAGCAACTCCCCAGGCTCCTTCTCCTGCGACTGCGACAGCGGCTACGTCAAGAACGTCACCACTAACAAATGTGATGGTAAGTCAGATTTCCTTACGGGAACCACACTCCAAAACTCGAAACCCACTAAATATCAGCTATCACCCAACCTATGTAATACCCAACCTATGTAATACTTCAAGATGTGCTTGTATGGGAGCAGAGATGCACAGGTCACTTTTATCCGCCCGCACATTTGCCCAAAGACACATCTAATTATGCAACGTGGTGCTTTCTTAGGATCGAACACAATTGGTGAAGGTGATCTGGCATCTCAGTCGTCATGATTACGTTAAGCTATTCTTTTCATGAACAGGAGTGAGTAAGTTGGGTTAAGTGCCCCCTTGAAAAATATTTCCGTTATGTCACGTTTTTTCTACTTTGTTGGTACCCATTAGCTGACAATTTAACGAACTACACAGCGAACTGCGCTGCCTTGGATGAAATACCCATTACCGTTGCCATTAGAAAAGTCCATGGTCCTGTGGCAATGTTTTTTTTGTTATATGTGACCTTATAGGTGCTTGGATACAATTGTGCTGTGACATCATAAAGACGTTTGACGTCAACTTACTTCAGTGAAAATCGCCATGTGTGGGGACTGTTCAAACATATCATATTTTATTTTTCTCTCGTTAGTTCTTAATGTAATGAAGAGATTATTTCAAAACCTTGTATCATAGATGTCTACTTTCAATTCATTAGCCATTATGTGTAAACCTGCAATTATTACATAATCTCTTATAAGTCGGAAAAAGACTCCAAACGCAATGTACTCCGAAATAAATATGAATTGATAACTTGTGAATTGTATTTTGTCTACCGAGGATACTATAGTTTTGAGATGTTATGAAAAGTCAAAATGTGATCTCATGGTTGGTCACATATATAGAATTTCCCACCAGTCACTGTTCTGACGTCGAGTTTTTTACTAAAAGACGTGATACCTTTGAAACCGATATTTCAATTCCCAGACATAAACGAGTGTGATGGCAGTCACGGGTGTGAGGCTACTTGTGTCAACACAGGCGGCTCCTTCAAGTGTGAGTGCCCAGCGGGTCAAACTGTCAACCTGGATGGAAAGACGTGTGACGGTAATATATCCTCCTCTTTCATATCAACATGCACTTATCAAAATGATGTGTCAAACCTTTAAACAAGATAATTACTGAATATAATAGTATTTAGTTTAAAAACAATAAGACATGAAAGTAACTGGAGTAGACGAGTAAACACAGGTTATCAGCACTGAAACAGGTGGCCTATTTCCCTCAAATGATTTGATCAACACTGATGTCATTATACAACACTTGGGTACTGATCATGGCGAGTATTGTAGTTGACACATGCAAACTGTCCATCGTGTGCATACATCCTTTGTTATTAGGTTGAGAAATGATCAGCCACTCTTCTTAGTTCTAGCTGGTTCATGCAGATGACATGAATTGTGTCTACCTTTTCAATGTTGAAATAATCACTGCTTGTATCCGCCTGGGTATAACTGATGATATGGAATGACTCATCCATAAATCAGCCATATCACACAACAATATAAAGAATGCACTTCCTCAAATTGCAGAATATGATTTATGACACAAGGTATTAACAGACTATACTGCAGTGGACATCAGCCGAATACATTATTAATATGATCAACGTTGGGTTTTTTCAAAATATCCTCATACACCTTCCTACTTAACCCTATCAAATCATGTTCGACTATCGACTTATTATCAGCCTTTCCGTGGTTATCCCTATGTTCATCTTCATTCTGGCGTCGATCATCGCCATCATTTTTATAAGGATCAGAAACCAGTCAGTCATTCAGGGAGTGAGTGGGTGAGTGAGAAGGCAGGGAGCCAGTCTTTCAGTGAGAGAGTGAGTGAGTGAGTGAGTCAGGGAGTCGGTCATTCAGGGAGAGAGTGAGTAAGTGAGGAAAGGAAAGAGGGATTGAATGAGATTAACGCCGCTTTGAACAGTATTTCAGTCACATCATTGTGTCTCAGTTATGTGACAGTCTGTGAAAAATACTGTGAGAGAAAGCTTGAAGTGGTATGACCAAACGACTGTTGAACCCAACTCTCCTGGTATATAACGAAACACATTATTCTTTATAAAAGATACCAGGTAGGTAAATATTCTATTTTGGGCTAGTTGTTAGTTGTTTTGCTACAAAGCATTCCCTAACAAAATTAAAGCTGTTTGACATAGAGGTATGTTTTGAAGAGCCAATAGAACCAATACAAGATACTCATTTAAACTTTTATGTTTACAATATAAAATAATATAACAATATATATGCTATGAATATGCACCTTAGCATAAGTAAAGCAACACTCGATAACCATTTAAAAAACACACGACATATTTGCACCTCAAAATTAGCGGGAACGTTTAACATTACAATTTGTACTGTATATATGATACTGAAACAGGGCGCTTTGATTTGTAAGACTCGTTAAAGAACCTTTTCCAACAAACATGCATACGACAGAGATTTCTAAGACGCAATTTCAAACAAATATCTGCAAGGAAAATAAACTGTTGGACGAAAACCATAAAACACGAGTGTATACTTATGATTTTAGTATGTCTAAAAATATATTTTTATCAAAAACAAACATTTTTTAGAAGTCTTTTTTGATATATTGTATGAAGCGTAGCATGGGGTAAGCATTTTTGTATAAATACTGGGAATAGGAAATGGTAATAATTTGCAAGTCATATTTGATTGGATAACGAAGGGATTTTGTTTGGTTGGTTGATTTCTGTTTTCTAATAGGCTGATAAAATTGTGGGTGGGGCTTGTTTTGCGCTGAACGATGTCACTGGTTTTGCATCGTTGTCTACAGTATTTTGTGCTTGTACTTAAAAAGGGAATGTTGACGTACTTATTCATAAGATTGAACTACAGCATATTTTTAAGTTTTGGGGAGATATAACCTAAAATTTCCAGTGCATGGATTTACACAGTGTGCACAACAGGTTTTTTTCTACCTTTGTACATCCCCAAAATAAAACAAAATCATTGGAGTGAAGTATTAAATAACTGCAAGCCTGAAAACTCCGTAGTGAAGCAGTATATTTTGGTTGGAAACATACTGTCGGCGAAAGAGAATTTTTGGAGTGATTTTGTTTGATACCTTGGAGAAAATGAGCACAGATAGACACGGAATGCTATATTGAAGCGTATTTGGGCCATATTCTGAAAACATATCATCTACGTAGATGAAGGTATAGTCTACGTTGATGTAAGTACCATCTCCGTAGATGATAATATTTATTTTAGAATAATACGCTTCCATAGAATGCATTTTGATAAAAGCAAAAATAACATTAAGATGTATTCCAGAACAGAATTGTGCTGACCTGAGGAGATCTTATCAGACGTTTCAGGAGTATTAGTTAATTAATTTGTTGCAATATCGTGCCAAAGAAATGCAAAATAAATATAAATCCAAAAGCAATATTTCGTCTTAAATGTCATGAAAGTTGTTTATTTGTCCATACCAACTCGTCACTATTTATTTCAGATATACAATGAGAAGCTGTAATATATTAAGCAATCGTAATGATGTTTTTGGTATTGTTATTCAGCTGATTTCAAATGCAAATAATAAAATAAAAAGAACGAGCTCAATGTATCATTACAATACGGTACATGATGAAATTCACAGGTGATTTGAAAAGTTGGTGCACTGACAAACGGAATTAAAAATTCATATTGTAAAATGGTTGGTTTAGATCATGCACGTGTCAGTTAAATCATTATTTCTGATGACATTAACAGTGACAATGAAAATATTTCAGAATGTAAGTTTTGAGACTACCCCTATGTTCCGCGATGCCCTGCAGCCTTATGTTTTTTGCGCATACCCCATGCAGGCATTGAAACACAACAATAACATGATATAACTGTGGTGACAAGTTGGTATGGACAGATAAATAACTTTCATGTCATTTAAGACGATTTATTGTTATCGAATTTATATCTATTTTGCATTTCATCGGTACGATTTTGCAGTAAAAGGACTTTTGGATGTCTCAGATGTCTATTTTTATGGAAAATTTAGTAAGGTTGTCCACTCAAACATGGCAATATGAACAAGTTTGTAAACCACAAGAATACAAATCGGTATATAAGGTGAAAGTTGTGTTGAAACTTCATTGTTTGTACATGTAAATAGAAGACATCATTTTTAATTGTTCCTTATTATATTTGCATTACAACATATGACAGTTTATAAAGCGAAAATACAGCTCAATACTTAATGCATTCTTTCCTATAAAAAAAAGATTCACATACTTTCACTGAAAAACATCTTATTTCAAATCTTACAAAAAGAACTAATGGATTTTCTTCAACACAAACACAGGGCTTTTTACTTTAATCGTCTCCGAATTACGAGATAGACGATTTCATTTCAATACATTCCGACATAACCGATCTTTCTCTAGGGCCAAAACAGTACCGTGTTTTTTGTCTTTTTGTGGGGGGGAACAAGGTCATTTGCATGATTCACCAACACTGACCCGAAAGGTAAAATCTTCGTATTCTGGTGGCAGACATTCATAAACGTTCAGAAGAGTGATGTCTTGACAGCACTAGACATGCAAAAAACATGGTTTCTAATGGATGAGTTGAAATGGGGTTTACCGCATCTTTCCGGGGCAAGGGAGTTAACTCACTGTAAAAGTCCAATTTCAATCATTGCCGAACTAGGCTGGAATTTATGGGCTCGATCGTAGCGCCACTAGTGGCTGTTAATAGTTATATCGCTTCTATGTCCCTCCGGATCCCAGCTCTGATATCACTTCAAACAAAATGGCGTCGCCGAGTCAAAACAATCTGATTGATAATCAAGATCTATATTGCAATAAAGAGGGTCTTATCTCCCGATGTGCATCAAAGTACTTGAGCGCCTAGATTAAAAACATGAAAAGATTTGGAAAATATCTGTCGACACCCAGTTGGCGGTACTCATGCTCTGAAAATCCTGCAATCGACCGAAATCTGCACGGCAGTTGCCATATTGTTTATGAACCGAATGTTGATTTATTTTTTTTAGGCTATTTTGAATGGACTATACAAAGAATCGTTAGCCCAACCGAAATAGAACTTCATAACTGCAGCCCAGTTAGGCAAGAGTGGAAACTGGACTTTTATAGTCAGTTAACTCCCTTGCCTCGAGAAGATGGGTTTAATGTTGCGTCCAAGATTATTGCACTAACCAAGATTAGTGCATGCAAGTGTATCGGGCTTAATCGTTTCTAACAAATGCATGTTGAGCTATCATATGTATCATGTCATTTATACTGTATATTTATAGAGTGTGCAGTTCCAGACCGTGATTACTGTAGGGGCCCCTTTGATGTGTGTACAGATCTGACGACGGGCCACGAGTGTACATGTAAGGACGGTTACGTCCGAGAAGACCAGGAATGCTACGCAGGTAACACAAACATACATTTCACAGTTTCCAGTTCATAGTTAACATATTCCACAACACCCAGTTCACATGAGCAGCACCCCCTTATCACAAGATCAGCATATCCCATCACACTCAGTTCACATAGCAAAGCATACCCCGCCACACTCAGTCAACAGTCAACATGCCTCATCACACTCGGTTTACATGGTCAACATATCCCATCACACTCACTCCACATGGTCAACATAACCCATCACACCCAGTTCACACAGTAACCATACCCCATCACACCCAGTTCACACAGTAACCATACCCAGTCACACCCAGTTCACACAGTAACCATGCCCCATCACACCCAGTTCACACAGTAACCATACCCCATCACACCCAGTTTACACAGTAACCATACCTCATTGCACTCAAGTCACATGGTCAACATACCCCCATCACACTTTTTCACATGATCACCGGAACACATCACACTCAGTACACATGAGTCCGCCTCCGTGGTATTGTGTATAGAGCGTCTGTCCGAAGAGCGGAAGGTGGGTGGTTCGATCCCCAGAAGCTTCATACCCAAAGACGTTAAAATTGGTACTTGTTGTTACCCTGCCTGGCGCTCGCCGTTAACTATTCAGACAAGAACGAGCACAGCCCGGGGTTCTAAATAATAGATACATGGTTATTGCCTTCCATTCCATTCAACAGAAATGTTCACTTACGGTCCGAGCGCTTCAGATTCAGCCATGTCCATCCAGGATGAAGGTTTTCAGAAGATAGACGTTGAGGACGGAATCCCATTTTCATCAGAGATATACTATGTCATACATGTAAGTTCGAAAATACCACGATATATACAGAGGAGAAAAGAAACTATACCTCTCGGATTATCTTATCATATATAAAATATTTTACGTTAGCGATATCATAGCTAAAAAGTAAACTATACTTGCGCTTAGTCACTCAAAGAATACAATATTATTTAAAACTGTTGATGGGTATCGTAGACACCTTATCTTCGAAAACCAATCTATTTGCTTTTTTCGGCACAAATTGACAGCATTTAAAACATGGTTGCAAATTCATTTCATACCCCATTTTTCAGTTTTTATATTTCACGACATATAAAGTTAGATATACTATAAATATTTGTAAGCAAAGGTACATTGTGCCGTATATGTCAAATATACTATGACATTTGTGTGAGTAAAGATATACTATTGCATATACATTAGCTAAGATATACTGAGACCTGTATGTAATTTCCACATGTACAATGGCATGTCTAAGTTAAGATATACTGTGATATATATAAGTTACTGTGACCTATTAGTGACTTTAATTTGAGAGCATCAAAAACATTTCCTATTCCATCCTCGGAAAAATGATTTTTTACCAATTTTTTTTTTTGTGTGTGTAAGATTGTGTAGTATCATGCAGTTATTGAAAGACAGTTTAGTACTCTACGTGTTACAGGCTAGTATATATCTATATGTATATATAATGAACAAAAAATATGTGCTCGGCCTTCACTCTTAATCAAACGTGATCCTATCATATTTTTGTTAAGTATACATACTTATCTTACCTTGCATTAAGATGCATTCCAATGTACCCTTCTAAGGTACAGGGGCGGTCGGGTAGCCGAGTGGTCAAAGTGCTCGCTCTTCACGCCGAAGAGCCGGCTTCGGTTCCCGACAAGGGTTCAATGTGTGAAGCCCATTTCCGGTGTCCCCACAGTGATTTTGCTGGACTATTGCTAAAAGCGGCGTAAAACCACACTCACTCACCCACTCTAAGATAAAAAAAAACTCATATACAGTAAACTACGTTTCTAACGAACTTATGTTTTAGTCCTTGCCATTTCTTGCATATACGCTATATATAAATTTATATGCTTATAACGAACTACGGTTATAACGAACTAAAATTAGTTGTCCCTTTGAATTTGTTATAACCGTAGTTTATATATTCTTCTTGGAGGTGCCGAACTTACCAATGCGAATATATGACATGATTATATTAGTTCCAAACTGAACATCAATTGTGTTAAGTGAACGTAGCCGAACTTATCCGACTGTACCCTGAGTGAGAACCTACCCCTCGCCGGTACATAGGCGCTCACGCAGGGTGTATCACACCATATAACCTTCGAGACTGGTTGCCTAATTATACTTCCTTGTTTCACTCCTGACTGTATTGTGTTCATCCCTCCGTCTAGATCTCTACAAACGGCGTGATTAGTTTTGGGACGCCGTTTGGTTCGTACTCGCCATCACTGCCAACCAATACCCAGAACATCTTGTGTCCTTACTGGGCTGACATTGACATCACGTCCGCGAATAGGCCCAGCACAACTGCCATCTACTACCAGGCATACAATGGCACCAGCAATAGGCTTGAAACAGCTTCCACTTGGATTAAGAAATACATCTCTGACAGCACATTCAAAGCAACATGGGCGTTGGTGGTCACGTGGTATCACGTGCCACAGAAGGGACAATCCTCATCTGACGAGGTAAGAAATCATAGTAAGTGAGTGCAAGAGTGAATGAGAGAGTCTATGCTTGATTCAATGTGTGTGTGATTCAGTGAGTGATTCAGTGTGTCTGTGATCCAGTGAGTGATTCAGTGACAGACATATAGACGGATAGTTATACACTTGAAGTTGCAATTTTTGTTTAATAATTTACGTCCTCTACGAAAGGATCATTATATTAAACTGATTTTGTTTCTGTGAAGGTTGCAACGTTCCAAGTGCTGCTGATCACTAACGGCCAGTCCACGTATGCCTTGTATACCTACAACAGAATGGGATGGACGGTGAGAGACGATATCCCAATTTACATCGGCTATGAAAGTTCAAATACGAGAGATAGAAGACAGGAGGTTCTTATCATGTCTGGAAAGCGGGCAGCTTATACCAACGCCGGCATCGGCAGCAACACGCGTAGGTAGCACGTCATCATCCAAGCAAAAGCTCCTCACATCATAAACGCAAACTCAACGGATACTCTGCAGTGAACCACGAGTGCCAATAAATATATCAAACGTGAGACATAAAGCGTGACCGCCTCTGTGGTGTAGTGGGTAAAGCGTCTGCCCGGAAAGCGTAAAGTCGGTGGTTCGATCCCGAGCCAAAGATGCACACGCAAACGCTGACGCACACACGCGTGCATGCACGTCCCTATGTTAGTGCAATATTCTTGGACACGACGTTAAACCATTTCACCTCACATCCCCTCACCTCAGATGAAGCATTATGATCGGTATGTCTTATCAAAGAAATGCTTAGGTTGAGGCGGGTGTATAGGGGGAGCACACAGCCTTAAAGTCGTCAATTCAAGGGGGTGTTGGGATGGCCCTGTGAGTAAACCGTTGTACCGGGATCGATTCCCTTCTTTTGTAAAACGTCTTAGGCAGACAAATATTCAAGCTTAATCTTAGCATTGTTGGAGTGCCACGTGGTTATCTTTTGAGGATATAGAGGATATTTCATGTGTCTGTACAAAATATTTTGGGTCACGAAAATTCTTTATCATACCTTAAAGATATGAGTAGATACAAAATCAACCTTTACAAAATATATTTTTGAAAACGACGAGACCGATTTGGAAAGAAAGAATACACGTTGGTCAAGTAATGAAATGGCGATTTGCGAAACGAACATTCTCGATTGACGAGTTGAATGAGAAATTTACAGTTTATAACGAAACATTTTCAAGAGAATAACAAACGGCATAAGGCGATATTAACTCCATAAATGATCATCTATTTCGCCTTGTTAATGTGGAACTAACGTAAAAAGGAGGTCAACAGTTTTTGAACAGGCCAGACATTTACAATAAAGGGGGACAATTTGAGGGGAGGTCACTCATTTATGACAATAGTTACGTCAAAGTGTTATGTTCACAGCAGTGAAATATGAAGTGTTATGTTCACTGCAGAAAAAATCGTGTTATGTTCACAGCAGAGAAAATATTACTTTTCTCAACTTCGGAAAACTCGGTCTTTCACACTATATAATAAAACAATAATCTTCAAAAAAACAACTTTTTAGTTTGAAACAAAATATTTTGAACAATTCAGATATCCCGGGCGTGTACATATTCGACATCGGGGGGACGGTGACGAACTTCGTATCGTTGTGTAAACAATGGTACACTGAATGGGTGCCGGATTACCAGTTTTGGTGGGCCTGGTTCCTGGATGACTGTCCCTGCAGCTCCGTGTGGATGAACAGAGACTGGAGGTTCTACCTGTCTGACTATAAATTCCAAAATGGTCGATTCAGTGTCTGTTACACATCGCGCCGCACTTGGTGGACCACTCCTTTGTCTCGGGTGAGTTGTTCACTCACACGTACATTACTGAGCGTATGACTTGGGGCGCACCACTATTTAAGTTTATTGTGCGAGGAGAGCAAAAGGCGACGCAAGGCCTACAGATGTACCACTATTTGAACTACAGATGGATAATTTTGAGTAAAAATATATTGGTTAAATGAAGATTGGGGTAAGAAGTATATTTCCCATCACATGTTTGAAATGCTGTAAAATTGTAGCGAAAAATGTTAATTTATTGATTTTCAAAGTTAACATGCCAAAGTTTTGTATTATGCGAATAAAAACTTTTAAAAGTTTTAAATTATATTATATTAAAATTAAAACCATGTAGAAGTATTCTAAGTGCCAGTGCAGTTCATATTTTTGGATATAATGTTGCGAACTTAAGCTATTTTCAATTGAAAAGCAAACATATGACAAACTCACCTGAGAGGTATAGTTTGCTTTGCTCATCAGTTGGTTTTCCGCCATCATAGTCCATCACTTACATAGCATATTGTAAATAGTTTCCTGAACAGATAAACGAGTTAAATGATTTGAATGTTCCACTTTGCATGGTTTGAATTCTGACATTTTTTTCTGCAGAAATGTTGCTACAGAGACACCAGATTATTGACGTCAGTTGAGGAATCTGGATCGCTGCAGAGGTTTGATCCCGTTTTTGTACGGCTTCATTACCTGGCGGATTACCTGGGAAGATATTATTGCTGTGAGCAGTCCAACAGGTGCGATCTCTTCTTCAGCATCCGGCCCCAGAGATTCTGTTCACTCACATTCCCCTTCTGGTGGGGTAAGTGAAGACTATTTACGTGACGAGTGAGTGAGTGGGTGGGTGAGTGGGTGAGTGAGTGAGTGAGTGAGTAGGATTAACGTCACTTTGAACAGGATGTATATCAAAGTATCATCTTGGAGATAAACAGATTCTTACATCACGCATTCATTCTCTCTAACATTAAAGGTACTGAGATGCCCGCTTCCGTTTTTCGTGCGAAGCAAAAATATTTATATATCTATTTCTGTTGAGTTGTACATGACGGTTTTTGTGCTACTCAAACATATATCTATTTCTTTAGTGGTGATATTGGTAACATAAGTAAGAGAATGGTGAGGGGCTAGAGGTTTCGTATGTCGGTGTATTTACTGAATGTGAGAAGAAAGCAGCTACATGAGGTCTGTCACTTTGATGAATCTTCGAGCGTGAATATGGTGCTGACAAACCAAAAATCAAATTCATGATGAACATGGGATTCATAAGACCCCACCACAACCCAACCCCAACCCCAACCCCACCAAACCCCCAAACCCCCACACCTCACCATCGGATTACCAAGTCACATTTATTTTCCATTAAACACACAATCACGCGACGTTTGTTATTATCAAATAATATGCAAAATACCAGTTTTGCAGTATAAGTTTCATGTCCTTCATGTTTTCTTCATTTTTATCATGTACAGTAATTTTGTGACTGTTGATATGGCCCTGTATTAGGGATGATTGTGTGTTCAATGGAAAAACTGGGTACCAAAATGATGGTTGACTGACTGTAGGTTTGTTGAGCTTGAGGTTTGTTCAATATTCTACCATGACATAGATGAATGCTTGATTCTGATTGGTAAAAAGAGGTTTCCTTTTTGCTACGGAAACCCCTTTCAAATACATTAAGCCTTTTCGTAATAAACGTGCGTATGAATACATAGAAAGCCTATATATTGATTCATAAAAAGTGGCTGCCGATCGATCACCACCATATATACTGTAAATCTAATACCAGCAAGGTCTCTAATACACGCTGAGTCAACGGCTGTCGCGAAATTAAAAGACGGCGAAGCGCCAAATAGAGGAAATACGGCAGTTTTATATCGGTTCTTTGGGGCGTTGTAGGCCGCACCCCTGACTGCTTCGATGATGACATTTAAATATTTAAAACGAAAGCATATCTTTTGCATACAAATGAAATGTTCATGAAACTGTTAGAGTAATGTTCTGTGGTGAATCGGAACAATTTAAGCTATTCCTCATTGAAACAACCAACAATGAAAGCATTATATAACATTATAATAATTGTTTGAAGAAACTTTATTCATGACAACATGTTGTTTACAAACCTTTTTGTGATCAATATTCGTTGCCATCTCCATCAACCACAACCGTTAGAAATTGTCAGGAGGGGATTTGAAAGTCCATCAGAAAACAATGTCCCAACTGATGTGGCAGCTTATCAAACTTGATGAAATTCATTTCAGAACACACACAGTCATACAAACAAATCATACACGACCCACTATTTCTGGGCCCCAAATGTCTAAGTTCTGTCACTATCTGGCTTTGGATCCGTGAAATCTTGAAATTGACAGGTCACACCATGACCAGGTTAAAATATCCGACTCGTCTGCAGCCTAAAAAGCGGCTGTTCAGTCATATTCAGTTACATTGGTAATCATATTCTGCCAGCAGGCTCGATCAATCCCAGATAATCTACAGGTTAATGTTGAACCACATCATAGATCGTGGTTGTCATCTTTCTTCATTCATTCAACTAGTTACGGAGAATGTAAAAACAAGATTGTCAGCCATTGACAGCTGCGAAGTGTACGTAACCGTGATGTAGGTCAAGTTCTGCCACATTCAAGTTTTTGGGGGAGAGGCATTTATTTTGATTTTATTATTGTTTACTGGGGGTAATTGCTAACTAACTAATAACACTTACACATGTTAAATGTATAATATAATGTTTATTCATAAAGTATGTAGTAGAAATAAATTCGTTTAGCATTTTAAAACCTTTTTCTATAACATGTCACCTACAATAGAAATGATAGCATGTTCAATTTCCAAGAAATTATCTCTCGCGCAAAATTCCGAGAAATGACAGTCAGTCCACTGTGTACAACAGTGTACAACAGGTTGGTAGAAATTAAAACATCTGTCTTTGGACTAAGTTTGGAGTGTAATTTGTCTAGTTCTTTTGAAAACCTATGTCTTTTGAACACTTATTATGAACTACTCACGACTATGGTATTATTAATCTTAAACTTTAGTAATAATTGTTACATATATAACTACCTGTGACCACTTTTCGGAATGTTCTAAGATTGCGGACCTGTGTACCTGTGTTGTTATGCATTGCAAGAGAGCACCATATTTCCCAAGCGTTGTTGCCGTCATGGTAGAATGGAGATAAACCTACTGTGTTTTGAAATTTGATGTAGTCCCACTGTAGAGTAGATACCTCTTTATTATAAAAGTGCTCTGTTCAAAATTAAAATAAAGAGGTATCTATTCTACAGTGGGACTACATCAAAATTCAAAACACAGTAGGTTTATCTCTTAATTCATGGAAGCACCTTGTTTCATGCAGTTGATACTGACAAGTATTGAAGCATTGTCGGGCCGAGATTGATAAGGTTATAACGACTATTTCAGGCAACGGGTTCGGTGACCCGCATATCACAACCCTTGATGATCTCACCTACATCTTCAACGGTTTCGGCGAGTACGTTATGGTTCATCGGGAGGACGCAAATGCCACTTTTACACTTCAAGCCAGAACAGAACGAGCACTTAATAAGGACGGCAACCTCACCACGGCAACCATCTTCACGGCCTTTGCTGCTACGGACACAAATGATACCTTCATCGTGGAACTTTCTCCATCTAAGGAAGGTAGGCAAATCCAAAGTATTGTTTTACTGACCTACAGTTCTAATACATAGCTTAGAGAGCTACAAATGATACACATCTGATGCAAACATGCTGCATTATTACCTCCCCAAGTAATAGGGCACAGATCATGCACACTTTCTACAGTTTTACCTCCCTTAGTATTAGGGCACAGATGATGCAAACTTTCTACAGTTTTACCCCCCTAAGTAATAGGGCACAGATCATGCACACTTTCTACAGTTTTACCCCCCTTAGTAATAGGGTACATCTGATGCAAACATACTACATTATTACCTCCCTTAGTAATAGGGCACATCTAATAAAACTTTCTACATTATAACCTCCCTTAGTAATAGGACACAGATCATGCAAACTTTCTATATCATTACCTCCCTTGGTTATAGGGCACATGTGTTGCAAACTAGTTTCATTATTACCTCCCTCGGCAATCAGAAAAGGATGATGTACACTAGCTACTGCATTACCTCCCTTGATAATAAGGCACAGGTGATGCAAATTAGCTACATTATTACCTCCCTTTGGCAATAAGAAAAGGGTGATGTACACTAACTACTGCATTACCTCCCTTGATGATAAGGCACAGCTGATGCAAACTATTTTCATTATTACCTCTTTTGACAACACGGTACAGCAAGCTCCTTCCCAGCGTGCTACACCTTTGTAGCAAACTGATGCAAACTAGCTACATTAATACCTCCCTTGGCAACAAGACACAGCTGATGCAAACTAGCTACATTATTACCTCCCTTGGCAACAAGACACAGCTGATGCAAACTAGCTACATTAGCACCTCCCTTGGCAACAAGGCACATTTGAAACAAACTAGCCACCTTATTACTTCCCTTGGCAATGAGGCATAGTTGATGCAAACTAGCCACATTATTACCTCCCTTGGTATAAGACAGAGCTGATGTAAACTAGATGATAGCCCTCATGGAGCCTGATCAACGAAGCGTTGTTATTGCATTGTGCATTACAACCAAGGGGAAATACATCTTTCAACTGAATTGTGAACCGTCCTAATCAAAGTACCTTTTCCAGTAAAGAAGAAAGAAATAATCAAATAGCAAGTATCATATGTCAGAAACCAATGCCAACTGGCTGAGATTAGCTTATTGCAGCTTTGGTACGGTAGGCGTCTCGACTCTGCGAGGATTTGCCCTGCGTCATGACTATGTTCCTTTAACTAGAATAAGTAAAATGGATAAAGTTATTAGAAGACGATCCGCACATCGGCCAGTTAATGGCAGACCTTAGGCTTCTATGATAATGAACGGAAAAATATCGTTACCATTATACGACATATACTGACGGAAATAAGATAGCATATGAAGTATGTGATACCCGTGTCATAGTTCATTTTTTACTTTAAGTTTGCTGTTTTTCTATGACTGTTTTCAACCCTGTAACATTTTATAAAGATTTTTATTTTGGGGTCAACTCCAACTTTCAAGTCTTTATTCTCTTTTGCCGGGGAATTTATGTAAAAGTGTATTAAAAATTGTAATGTTGTGTCACTAATTCAAGTCACATTGTAGTAGTTTTTTTCTAGTCAGCCTTTGTTAATATTTAAGGATTCATCATCTTCCGGAATAAGAAGGACTTATCTTTGGCCTTCGAGAGGGACGCCAACTTTACCGAGGACGGCAATGGCGGGTTGACAGTTAGTCGGCAAGATAAAGACGTTGTCGGATTCTTCCCCTCAGGTACACAGGGTAATGTGAGCTATGTAGAATGTGTAGTGTTTGTAGTGTCGGTGTGTTGTGTGTGTAGTGACGTCGTGTTGTGTTTGTAGTGACGTCGTGTTTAGTGTGTAGTGTCGGTGTGTTGTGTGTGTAGTGACGTCGTGTTGTGTTTGTAGTGACGTCGTGTTGTGTTTGTAGTGACGTCGTGTGTTGTGTGTAGTGACGTCATGTTGTGTTTGTAGCGTTGGTGTGTGTGTGTGTCTGTAGTGACGTCGTGTTGTATTGGTAGTTACGTCGTGTTGTGTATGTAGTGACGTGTTGTGTGTGAGGTGTGTTCTGGTGGACGGTATGTGGTTGTTGTGTGGTGTGTTCTGTGTGTTATGTTTGCAGTATGTTATGTATGCTGTGTGTTCGATATGTATGGAATGTGGCTGGTGTGCTCTTGTGGGTAGTGTAGTATGTGTGGTGTTATGAGTGTATCGTGTATCATCCGTGCCCTCGCGTTGTTTACGGTGGAGTTTGTGGTGTAAACCTTGATGTTTTAAGTGTCGTGTGTTCGGTACATGCAGTAAGTGGTGTGTGTGTCTGTAAATTGAAACATTAAGAACATAGGGTGTTATGTAATACAAATGAAATTCCCAAACGGTGGTTTGATAGTTTGGGTATCCGAGCTAATACAAAGGCCCTGTCCCAGCAGAATAATTACAACAGAAGGGAAAAAGCATACTCATTGTTTTCTGTCGACCGTGTAAACATAATGAAATATTAAATTGATCGGCTAAATGCCACAAGTATATCGCTGGACTTTCAGGCGTCTCCGTGCGAGTGGTGCTGGGACCCAAGCTGCTCACTGTCTCCGTAGGAATGCCGGCTGGTTTTAAGAACAAAGTGAGAGGGCTGATGGGAAATTTCAACGATGACAAGTCTGACGATCTTACTTTTCCAAATGGAACAATTCTAAATAATAACTCAACAGAGAGGGACATATACCAATTCGGGCAAACATGTAAGTACTTCTTATGTTCGTATATGTCATCCTATATTTTGGTCCTAGGACAAAAAGATACCTCAGTAGACTATACTTGGCATGGTGGGTGATTTACATGTGCCATGGTAAGTGATTTGCCGGTCATGTCGGCTGAAGATGATGAATAATAATCTCCGATGTACCTAACAGGATCCGCTGATCATGGATTCGAGCTCAGACTCGGGTAAGCATGTACTGGTCTACCGGCAGCACCCGTCACTCACAGTTTTCATTAAAATAAATTGTTGATTTTTGTTTGTTGCCCAGCAACACTCCACCTCTACGAATACGGCCTGTGAACAAGCGAGAACCAGAAGTGTAAGCTTGTGTTATGCTCCATGTTAAGGTCATATCAGGTCTTACAATCTTACATCATGCAGACATGCATGTCATATTAAGTACACTCCTCCAAAATCCCTCCATTAATTTCTGGAATGTTGAAACCTTGATTGAAAGGCTTAGTGAATGAATGAGTTTATTCCGTTAAGGGGCAACCGGTCCCATTATACAATTGCAAGTTACATTGATTCTAACCGTTCACCTGTACAGAGCGGACCGATCCATAAAGCGCCCGCTAGCCACGAACATTCATGGGTTTAAACTCCTCGAAGTGCACAGGAGGAGGCACAAAAGGTTGCTAAGGCCATCATAACATACGTATGCCCTGTGGATCGGATCCCAACACATGTTGGCAACAATCAGTTGAATGCTTAGTTGTAAGCATTTGTTCGTTGTGAGCAGCTCGGGTTCAATTCTCCACACGGAAGCCCATTTCTGGTGTTCCCGCCGTATTATTGCTGAAATATTTTTAAAAGCAGCGTAACCTCTCACTCACTCACACTAGTCTACTCCTCCCCCACCATCTGTTTTTAGGGCAGATCAACTTGACAGAATCTCTCTTTATGTATCCACCACGGAAGAACGCATCCGACTATTACCACCCAGACTTCGAGCCTCTGTACTATGACGAGGCAAGCGAGGCAGATAGGAATGCCTCTATTGCTGCATGTGGCGGGGACGAGAAGAACTTGCCCTGTATATTTGATTTCCTGGCGACCGGAGACCAGGCTGTTGCAGACTCTACTAAGCAGACGGACGAGGGTGTCAAAAAGGAGCGAGCCGAGCAATGTAAGTGGGACGGCCCTGTTTAACATAACATTTGGAGATAAACATTCGGTGTTTTCAGATTTGCAAATGTTGTTTAGTTATTTGTACTGAAACACTTTACAGTGCATCGTGGATTTTGACTCTTGATAAGTAACAAGTGCTGGGAAGATTTTATTTAGGTATGACATCGTGAATGAGAATTTAAAAGATCTTCAGGCCTCACTACCACAAACCCATTTCTTTGTTTTCTATCAGGTGGCTGACAATTATGTATACAGTGTACAGTACACACTTTTATTTGATGCTGCTTCTTACCAATCTTATATCATGTTGTTGGATTGTTAGGTGTTGTCTGTCATGAAGTGGCTAGAATGTTTTCAAAATGAGTTTGTTTGTATCATTTTGGAATGTGATATTCAATCTTGCCATATGAACACATTTGTTGTGCAGCCAACACGATACCGTCCATCTCTTCCAACGCCACCGTCCTGCACGTGACTGTCGGACAGGAAACTATCTTCTCCCTGAACGCAACAGACACCGACAGCGGCGACACCATCACCTACGAGGTTGTGGACAAGCCAGACGGTTTCAATCTGACAGAGGCTGACCAGATTGGAAACGAGAGAAGTGCCCAAGGCTCCTATACACCCACGTCCGCTAGCCCCGGTAAAATAAGGTGAGTGGGTCCAAAGCCAACTATCCGGAATCAATATATTTCTCAATCGCATGATCAAGTGGACTAAATTCAGCGTAGCTCATCAATACAGTGACTTCATATTTGTTTTCAGTTGGATGTCAAAACTACATTTGAACCTGGGTATTTATACATAATCATCAATTATACATCAATCAGATGTCAATTCAAGATAGTTGGGAAAGATCGTTAAATGACTGTGTAGGCCACAAGTTACACCAGTTGAATCATCAGCTATATGATGCTGCGAAACACGTGTGTATCTTCCCGAGGCAAGGGAGTTCACTGACTATAAAAGGCCAGTTGCTGAACTAGGCTGGTATTATGGAGTTACAGCTTGGCTGGACAACGAGTCTGTGCATAGTCCAATCAATTTTTATCAGTTAACTCCCTTGCCTCGGGAAGATGTAACAATACACGGTTACCACCATTGTGATGTCGTTGCTTTGTCTCCTATAAACTAGAAACATACTCCAACCGGTATTATCATCCACGCTAGTGTGTTATTCAATAGCAATTATTATAGCCACTGATACTGATGAATGATGAAGCTCCATCTATGTCCACAGCATTGTAGTAAAGGACTCAAAGAACACGTCGTCGGAGACGGTGGACATTAAGATACGGCTCTGCGACGGTTGCTCGGGCAATGGGTCTTGTGACTTCACTCGCACACGCGCCGACCAGAACACGGGGGCGTCGGCATCGTTCGAGATTGCGGCTTGTGTCTGTGACACAGGAATTACAGGTAACTGAGATCAGTTTAGTTTCAAATAGAGCGACAAAACGAATCATAAGAAATATCTGCAGTACGCTTTTGACTACATCATCAGCATGTGTTTATGAACCACTAGCAAACTGTGATGTTGCCAGGTGTTCGTAAACCAACGTCTACTACATCATTAACACCATAAGTATAACATATGGTTACTTATGATGTGGGCCTCGTAGTTGTGTTTGCGACCAAAGTTTGCAGTGTTTCGGCGACTGTCTTCAGTCCAATTTTCGAGTGCATACTTTCTTTTCCTCGGAAGTTCTATACCTTCAGTCATCTGTAAGCATTACTTAATACTCAGTGTAACTTCGTCAGTTATATACATAAATCGAACTGTATAATCTTTCACATGAATATCATTGTCCAATCCTCTAGTAGGCTAGTGTGGCCAATTCTGATGAATACAATGTTCTGTGTTCTCCAGGTGCCGACTGTAGCCAGGATGTTGACGGTTGTAACAGTTTGCCGTGTTTCACTGGCCAGAACTGCACCGACCTGGTCCCGGCGGAAGAGAAGCGCCTCGGACGAGGCTACAACTGCAGTGCCTGTCCCGACGGATTCCAAGCATCTGGGGACAAGTGTGAAGGTAAATTCTACTCTTCTACACAACAGTTCTAAAGGTTATACTCATTCCGGATTAGACAGACCATTTCCCACAACACACCGAACCAATACTTGTCCATGTGAAGTATTAAATAGTTTTAGCAAACTATTTTAGAACCTTTATTGTTTATATTTCTTTCGCTTTTGAACCCTTGAAAAGAGTGTGAGTCGGTGCGGTTTACGTAGTTTTTAACAATATGTCACCCATATCATAGCAGGGACACCAAGAATTTCACAAACAATATATGTGTTGGGAATCGAACCCGGGTCATATTGACGGTAGTTAATTATCGGGGCGACTTGACTACCTTCAGTATCAACATCATCTCTTGCAGTGTAAAACAAATTATGTATCTTAATTCTGTATGATATTCTTTCTTGTAATCAGATGTCAATGAATGCGAGCCAACAAACCCATGTGACCAAAACTGTACGAATACACAGGGGAGCTACCGGTGTTCGTGTATGGCCGGCTACAGGCTCGTGAACAACGTCTGCCAAGGTAAGCCAAATGACAATGCAGTCATCACCATGAACAAATAAACAAGGAAGATTTGTAGGACCGTGAGTGAGTGAGTGAGTGAGTGATGCTGAGAATAATATGCTGACCCATTGGCCGGTATAATAATTTGTATCAGTCGCTTAATATAGCATTTTAATTGAGTTCAGACACTCTTCAAGAAAGTCTGATGTGGTGAAAAGCATTTCACCTTTCTTCTCTTTTGTATGTGTTTAATAGATGGCTCTGAGTTTTCATGGGCACGTCAGTGAGGTATTATTGCCAATGCAAAAAAATAAAATAAAAACAAACAGATTATAATTTCGACCTTAGCATAAATACGTTACTATTATGCATGTTCTGTTAAGGCATGTCAGTTATTAGCGAATGGGGGAGTTTAAGCCTCTTTAGCAATATCCCTGCCATACCACTAGAAATGGGCTTCTTTAATTGTACCCATGTGCGTAAAGGACATCGGTAATCGGCTATTAAATACAAAAGGGTACAATGTGTGCAGCCCATTTCTTGTGTCCATTGCTAAAAGCAGTACTCACTGACTCACTATTAAATACAGACGTTTGACAGGCATGATGTCCAAATTGAACATGTTGCGGTTACAGACATTGACGAGTGTGTGGAGAACCTTCACGACTGCCAGCAGGTCTGCAACAACACTGTACCTTCCTTCGTCTGTGATTGTAATTATGGATTCAAGCGGGATACAACTGACTTGAACAAATGCGTGAAAGGTAGATAGATGATTCCTGCCTTTCTAAATGGTGATTATGTTTCTAGATAAAGCCACTTCAATCCTATCTCATTTAATAATACCTCGACATAATAACCTGAACGACCACTGCATCGAGGAAATGTGTAGTGTGTTGAGAGGATCAGCAGCCCTGCGGAGTCCTTCGCTAGACTGAAAAGTGAAACAGAACTTCAAGGCTTCCTGTTTGCTGCTGACGATCAGTTACTTCCCATTCGAAACCGTGATTTTGTATCAAAATGTAATATGAAACATAGATTATGCAATGAATAAAATGTGACTGTCCAATATATTGTCAGTGGATGCCCCGCTTTGGCACAAACACAGTATCATAAGCGACATGATGGTGTAGCTCGATCAATTTAGTACCTTCTTCGCCATGCTTCTGGTTTTGACACAGTGGTCCATCCATGGTACGACCCAGAATGTGTAGAGGCCGTCATGGAAAATGATAAATACAAAATTCTTTGGAATAGGCCTATTCACAGCCTCAGACGTATCCAGACCAACAAACCTGAACTTGTCCTTTTTGACAAATGCAATGAAATCCTTCATATGATTAAATTTTCTGTTCCTTTTGACACTTATGTGATTGACAAGATTGAGGAAAAACATGGCAAATATGCGGACCAAGTTGTCCGACTCCCCATTGTTCTCGGTGCCTTAGGTTTGGGACCTCCCAATCTGTTGACTGACATTGGGAGAGTATCAGGGATTGTTGACAATCTGGGTAATGCAGAAGGCTGCAGTGTTGGGGAGCCTTCACATTCTTCGAAAAGTTCCCGGTGGACTTTGGACTTCCTGGTCCCATTCGCTGTCTGGGCTGCGTGTAGAAGGGGCAAGGGCCGTGAGCCGATGGTGAGCCTAACCAGCCAGACAGTGCCAGTGCCATGAATGTTTTCTCTGTTACTTTACAGATGATCAGTTTGGAATTGGTTTTTGACCGGTGTGATCTTTTTTCCACCAAAAATGAGCTTGACACATTGCACAAACGTGGGGAATCGAACCCTACCACCCCGCAATAATAGACGTTAGCTCGTGGTCACATAGTGCGCTTACCGGACAAGTATGGTACACCGAGAACCTATTCTAACCGAATCACAACGGGGTTCATACGATCAGAAAAAATCAAAGTAAGATAATTAAAGCCACACGATAAGTGCTAGTTGTATTCTTTATTTGATTATATTTCAGATTCAACGACAGAAGCCATTGATGATTGCTCTCCTACAAATTGCAGCTACGGCTGCCTGAAAGACACTGCCAAGTGCTTCTGCGAAACTGGATACGAAATTGACTCAGATGACAACAGCACATGCAAAGGTATGTTTTGTCCCCTAATATTACACTAAGGTTGTATACGGTATCTATCACTTCATTTATACTTTCACAAATACTCCCTTTCAAATTAAGTCAATATTTGAACTCCAGATGATTATCTGATTCTCTAACATTACATATAATTTGTTAAACGGTTATTAATGGACATGAATCCAAGGTTTACATAGCACATACAGGTTTAGAGATGTTCAAAATAGTATCAGTATTATTTTTCCGCAATCGTTATACATACAATGTCTTGTTAATAATGAGAAAAATATGCAAGGATAATCCCATCAACTGATGCCTTTTAAGAGCGTGATTGGGCAACAAACAAACACTAAATGTGTGATTGGCCGTGCCTGCCGGTAGAGTCGGACACGCTTGCCCTTTTCGCGAGCACTTGATGTAATCATTTGTTATCAGTGATCCATTCATTTAGTCTTCGTCGTTGTTTTGCATTTTACGACCAATGGATTCAGTTTCGTCAGAAAATCAAAACTGACTATTCTTTTGCGTAAACCTGTTTTTATTTTATCTAAATGTTTATGCCTATCAGGATAGTTGGGAGAGATAGTAATCAATAACACTGTGAACGTCTTGGCCTGGTAGCTGTGATCTGCTAGGGTAGGGAGCTCGGATGATGCTGTTTGGCTTGTTATCAGATATTAACGAGTGCGACCAGCACGTGTGTTCCCAGGGCTGCAACAACACCGACGGTAGCTTCGTCTGCACGTGTCTCGACGGCTACCTGCTGGCTGCAGACAAGGTGACATGTGAAGGTAAGGTAATAATATTCATTACGTGTTAGCCAACTTTTAAGTGCATTGGTTGCAAGACATATGACTTTGGTTTCAAGCCAATTTTAGCAACAGTCCACGACGGATGCAAGAAATGGGCTTAACATATTGTACCCGGACATTTAGCACGACGAGTGAACACTATAAACCACACTGCCATCCCACCGCCCCTAGACAATTGACCCTCTGTAACATACGTATTCAGAGATAGAACTGACCACGAGTACGTGAATTTTCACAGCATGCGGAGACTTGTACTACGGCAAAGACTGTGCCCAACGCTGCGACTGTGGTGACCGTTCCACGAGTTGCAACAACGTTAGGGGCTGCATTTGCAAGACAGGTTGGAGCGGAATCAAGTGCGACAACGACATCAACGAGTGTGAGGAAGGTCCATGTCCAACGGGCCAACTATGCACCAACACCAGGGGATCATATACCTGCGCATGTCCAACGGGATACGACAAGCAGGCTAATCAGTCATGCACAGGTAGGGCAATACGTTTGTATCTCTTTGTTTTGTTTGTTGGCCGCAATCAGCAATATTCAAGCTATATGATGACGGCCTGTAAATAATCGAGCCTGGACCAGACAATCCAATGATTAACGTCATGAGCAATTGGGATACGATGACATGCATCAACCAAATCAGCGAGTCTGACCATCCAATCCCGTTACTAGCCTCTTCCGAGAAGCATGAGTTTCCGAAGACCAATTCTAATCCGGATCTTCACAGGTTAGTTGGTATCTCTCTGTTGGACAAAGAGAAAAATAGCTCCAGCGTTCATGGTTACTTGTTTCGAGAGTCATGATTAGTTGTTATAACCTTGCAGACAAGAACGAATGCGTCACGGATGCCAACACGTGTGATCAGATCTGTACCAACGTTCCCGGGTCCTTCACGTGCTCCTGCAGGGCCGGATTCACAGAGGACAGCCAGAAGAAGTGTGCAGGTGAGGAACCATTCGGGACTACTCGTGTCATTCCGGGACAAGCATAATGGCGACTCGTGTCACTTTCGTAGCCATTTTGCAATTAGGTTTTTAGAAAGTAATATCGGTAGGAAGAAAGGAGGGACGATAAGGGCTTTAATTACTCCAGATAAAATTTAGGGGTGAGTAAGGGACACTTTAGGGTGAGGACACCAGTATAAGGCCTGCACACACGGGTCTGTATTGACACCGGGTGTGTGCAGCAGTTTTTATCACTTGACATCATCTGAAGGTCTTTTATTAGATTAGAAGAACATGATTATTATGCATGTATGTTCAATTTAATGTTACCATCCTGAGCATGTTGTTGTAGATATCAATGAATGCACATCCGATCAGAGCTCCTGCAGCCAAAAATGTGTCAATGTAGATGGTAGCTATAACTGTGAATGTGAGTTTGGCTATCGACTTAAGGATGACCGGACGTCTTGTGAACAAGGTAAGCATAAAGAAGTGAATTCATATAAACACAACTGACTCTTGATAAGAGCCACAATACTACATCTACCACATTTACAAAAAAAACTGTTAAAATGCATAAATACACAGTCAAACACCGTTGTATTGAAGTTAAAGGGACCTAGTGATTCCTATTTACAGAGGCCACTTCAGACCGCTTTGACCTCTTCACTTATCTCCAGTTGCGCAAAGATACTTACGCCCACATGTACTACAGTGACCTTGACATTTAGGAATTATATTGGTCGTGCAGGACATAATGTATTACTTATAATGAAATTCTGCAATGTGTCGCAATGCAGTTGTGAAATGTATTCGAAGTCGTGTTGTTTGTATCATGTGTATTTTTTGTGTGTGTGTGTGTGTGTGTGTGTGTGTGTGTGTGTGTGTGTGTGTGTGTGTGTGTGTGTGTGTGTGTGTGTGTGTGTGTGTGTGTGTGTGTGTGTGTGTGTGTGTGTGTGTGTGTGTGTGCGCGCGTTGGGTACGAAAGGACTACGACTATAAGACGCATTATGTGTAGGCAAGTGTTTTTCAACTTTTTTAACCATGTTATGTATCGGTTTGTATTTGTCCACATTTTGTTTGCTGATATTTCCTGATATTCAATTCCTGAGCTGATGTGACGTCAACATACACTACTTGCTGATTTGGATAGTAGTAGTCAGTGTTGCTCTGTCCATTTCAGCGTAGATTGCGTAGCTTGACGCAAGGACTGGCGGGTAGTTTTAAGTTTCGGAGTCCGGGATAAAATGTAACTCAACTGACCACTACTTTGTCACATTCCAGTGGAGGACGTCTGCGCTGAAGTAAAGAACCTGAACTGTGACCAGGGCTGCACGGTCAAGGCGGAAACTGAAGAGGCGTTTTGCTTCTGTAACCTTGGTTACAAACTTGGAACAGACAATCGGACGTGTATAGGTGGGTCTTCTGTCGCCAAGGTAACTTGCAGATTTTGCTGGGTTGTTGTTTTACACCGCATTCAACAATATTCCACTATATGACGGAGGTCTGTAAATATTCCAAGCTGAACCAGGCAATCCGGTGATTGACGCCATGAATATAGATCCATGCAATTGGTATATGACTCAAACACGCCGAGCCTGACTATTTGACCATGCAGTCTCTTCCGGTAATCAAAAGTTGGTAGGGACCAATATTCGAACCCGGAATCCCCAAGAGTTGGGGAACTGCCAGAATGCAGTCACACATGTAAAGGTGTGTCTGTCGGTCACCGTGGGAACTCGCAGGATACAGTCAGACATGTAAAGGTGAATCCTCAGTCACAACTCACAGGATAAAGTCACACACTAAAATGTTGAACCTTACGGCCATAGAATCTTTTTTTTAATGTATGGTTAATAATGATCTTCAGCGTTAATATGTTATTGTAGCTAGAGGCGATGCTGTCATCGGTTTATCTGGTTAATGATAAGGCTCATCAATGCTCGATAAACTTTCTCTAAGGTGGCTCTCTAATTCTACAGATATTGTGGAGTGTGACAATCCGGAGCTGAACAAGTGCGTTAACGGTACCTGTGAGAACACCATTGGAGGCTTCAACTGCAGTTGCCCAATTGGCTTCAAACTCGACAATGATAAAACCACGTGCAGAGGTCAGTGTGTGTTTTATACCAAGACAAGCCTTGCACTGATGTAGCCCCATTTGTCTTTCAGAAAGGTGCATGAGATGGTAAGGAAGCACTTGTTTACATATTTAGGTTACTACTTGTATTCTTGTATGTTCCCCATACATGTGTAGTGACCTGTGATGACCATGCTAACCTTTGGCGTTATAAAAGGCCACAATTCCCGTCACCAACCGTGCTGAATGAGGTCTCGAAGACAAGCTACGGCCCGATTATTATACCTGGCCTGTCAGCACCAATACCGCTCTCACGTGTAATACCCAAATAGTAACTGTGATACTGATACTATCGGTATGTACTTACTGTTATCTCATACACTGTATCTTGTTGCCAAATAGTAAATAGTAATTAGAATTAACCGCGAGTATTTGGCATCATTATCAAGTTATTAAACTATATGAGTATATCCAGAAATTGGTACTGCAACCGATAATACTACATCTGAGTGACGTAGCTACTAATGGCAAAAAAGGTAAGCTACACTCTGAAATCAATTGTTTGATAGGAATTTCTTAGAAGTTGACTGATAACAAAGTAAACAAAACATAATTGATAGCGAATTCTTGATCATACTGTAACAGCGAGGTTTCGGTATTGATCCCCACATCGTTCTCAAGCAAGACTAAATAATGAACATGGTACAGAATAATACGGTGGGCCAAGGAATAACGGTAACAACAACTACCATAATGTTCTTGTTTTAAGCCGTTTGTTGTAGTTACATTGTCTCTGACCTGTTTACAGGTTGACCCGGCTACAAGTGTATAATTGCGGTTGATGAATTGGTTCATAATTACTGTGTGTGCTTGTTGCATTAGTTGAGGATACCTAAGTTTGATCATAATGATCAACGGTGAAGGGATATGTTTGATTTGTTTCAGATTGTCAGTGGCTGTTGTTGGTCTGTGTTTGATAAGCGTTATAAGTGTTTGATTAAAAGTACTGTCACATTTCTGCTTACATTAACAATGCCCCGAGCAACGTCCCTGTATCTGGCTTGAACAGAACATCCAGGTGTCACATGCTGTTTCTTGTTCAGAGTGCGATGACCAACACTGGGGGCAGGGATGTGCCAACGAGTGTGGGTGTGGCGTGGGCGCTTCCACCTGCGATTCAAAGGGGGGATGCCAGTGTCTGGACGGGTGGTTGGGGCTGAGGTGCGATCAGGACATGAACGAGTGTGTACAAGGGGCCGTGTGTCCGCAGAACTCCGACTGTGTCAACAATCCTGGTTCCTATAGATGCGTGTGCAGGACCGGCTACAGGCTCAACAACATCACCAACACCTGCAACGGTGAGACGACGTTAGAGTAAACAAAGCTTTGACAAATAGTGCTTTTCTGTTTTCCTTTTGACAAATTATTCGTATCGATTAGAGGGATTATCGGTTAATTAATATAGAATCTCCCGTTACGAATTCTAGGTGATCTCTTTCTTCTAGCACTGTTAGGTAACACTGCCTTCTACGTCAAACGTACGATATATGATTGAAGGAGAAGATAAAGAAGTTTGAATTTTAGGGACATCATATTTCTGACAGTTTAATCGGTACTCAAACGGAAATTCAAAAAATCGATTGAGACACAGACATTGCATCTCATTAACTCATTAATGACGTTCATTGTCAGACTAAACATATGGCATTAAAACATCTGCTCATTGACTTTAATTGTTAATCCCTTTAGTTGTTGCTTTTGGTGGATGACAACATGCAGACCAGTTCACTCACCCGACCCCGTGTACCATATGTCATTGATGATCTTGTATGTTTATATATTCAGATATCAACGAATGTGATGAAACAGCATTGAATACATGTGACCAGAAATGCGTGAACAGTGAAGGCTCGTTTGTCTGCGAGTGCAGCGATGGCTTCGTTAGGACGGCGGATACATGTAGAGGTCAGTGATAGCAGGACCTCGCACTAGGTCTACTGGCATCATTATGTGGACAACCAGAGCTTGCTCACATCAAACAATACTACTACTACTTCTACTACTACTACTATTACTACTACTACTACTACTAAAAATTAAATCATGTTCGGCCCCTTTTGATACTGATATGTTTGACAAGATACAGGAAAAACATAGCAAATGGTTTTCGAAATCATCTTGTCCCACTCCCCATTGTTCTCGGTGCCTTAGGTTTGGTACCTCCCAATCTGTTGACTGACATTGGGAGAGAACCCGGGTTTGCTGCCAGGAATACAGCCCTTCTGACAATCTGGGTAATGCAGAAGGCTGCAGTGTTGCGGAGTCTTCACATTCCCCCGATAACTAGGCCTTGATCTGACGATGAGCCAAACCAGCCTCACTGTGCCAAGATCACCCCGACTCTCTTAGCTGCATTTATTTATTTAATCTGTATAAAAATAAAATAATAACAGAATTTGTTGAGCGACTAGCTTCCAGCTCTGCTAGCAAAATTATGTGCATGAAAAAATAGTGTTTGTAAACAGAATGTTACTAGTTTGTTTTCTTGCTCGTTTTCTTGAAAAATATGAATACACAATAGAAGACTGTAAATTGTTGACGTTCAGTTTGAATGGTTTTGCACCAATTTTAGCAATATCTCCGCGGGGCACACAAAAGATATACCCATTTTGGGAATCGAACCCGAGTCTTCGGCGTGGCGAGCCAGCGCTTTAACCACTAGGCTACCCCACAACCGATGGTGACATGTGTTGACGTTGTTGTTGTTGTTGTTGTTGTTACAGATGTAGACGAGTGTGAGACCGGGAAGGACGACTGCCAGCACATCTGCAGGAACACTGTTGGGGGGTATGCATGCAGCTGTCGGCCTGGCTTCCTGCTCCAGGCTAGCGACAGACGCTCATGTGTAGGTCAGTGATCCATGGCCACAAATGTGACTTCTATCCAATAAAACACTGGACCTTTAACATAGCTCATCTGGTACTGTGACCCACGCACGATTATATAGAGCACGTACTATCCCACCCCAATGTTCAGCGCAGTTGGTCGCCTTATCCTTTTAATGTAATTGTGTCATAGAATCGTTCAGCGTCAATGCCCACCTTATTCCTTCTTGCAAACCTATGCTTATGTTATGGCGTCATGGCCAGGTTCGGCGTCAAATTTCGCTTATCTCTTCCTCGAGTCCCGCCTTTACGCTGCAACGTTATACAAGCGTTCAGCGTCATGGCTCATTTTAACCCTTCCTTCAATCCCATGTTTAGGAGATGGAATGGTGTCAGGAAAATATTCAGGTTCATAATTCACTGTACGTTTCATAAGGCGTGATCGTTGCTCACAATATCGATCACTGGACTGTCTGGTCCAGACTTTATTATTTACAGTTATATATGTCTGTGAGCGGCGTTAATAAATAAACACACACGCACACGCACACGCACACGCACACGCACACGCACACGCACATGCACACGCACACACTTCAAACGCGTCATGGCATATGCAGAGTCACAGTTGCTCATCTCATTTCTTCTTTTACATAAGCCCGTCTTAATGTTCGCTCACCTTACCACACACGCTTGTTTTACAGCGACGACCGTGTGTACGATTCTTCAATGTGAACAAGGATGCCAGGTGGATCAGGGGAACGAGTCCTGCTTCTGCAACAGCGGGTTCAAGGAGGACCCTTCCAACTCAACACTCTGCGTTGGTGAGTTCTACAAATACAGTCATGATCGGTTGCCTATGATTATGTCGGATTGACCAATATGCCGGATAAACAAAACAAAGTAGTAGCAACGTTCGTGATCGAACATCGGACAACTACGATAGATTCAGTTTAGTGTTTCTACCGTTGAGTTTTCCCTGTTGACACTTATATTTATTCCTTCTGTTATATTCCCTTTTGCTCCGGGGGTGTATGGGTTGAACGATGCACTGATATCTATTTATGTTAAGGACGGAACAGACTGAGTGAGTGAGTGAGTTTGGTTTTATTCATTATCATTCGGGGTTCTGCAATTACTTTCAGGGGATCAGCAAGGCTAGCAATAGGGAAGCGACGTGACGCGTCGTAAACCACTAGACCAGTCGTGTTCTAGCTCGACTCGTCACACCAAAGGCCCAGGTTTGATTCCCCACGTGGGTACAATGTGTAAAGCGCATTTCTGGTGTCCCCCTCCGTGAAATTGCCGGAATACTGCAATACAAAACAAACGGCAATAACGCCAATAAACAAGTGCGCCTTACTATCCCACGCACAGTTTCTTTTTTTTCAAACTGAAAGTGAGTGAGTGAGGTATGTTCAACGTCGTTTCAGAGCATTTCAGTTACCTTACGTCAGATGAATGGGAGAGAAAGACCAACAACATGCATGCAGATCACTTTGGTGAAACCCAGAGGCACGGGCATAATCAGCCCGATTTCGAACCCACGAACACTAGATTCCGGCACGACTAAACGTTGCAACTTTACACAGCGTATTCCGGCGTTTTAGACGTCTTGTCCACCCTCACTCACTCTGGCTGATGGAAAAAGGGGAACACACAGATGTGTTGTCAGAAATAATGTTTCGTCGTTACGAAAAGAGTCAATCAGTGAAATGTTTTAATAACGTGATAGGTTAACTACTGATAATGGATTTTGTAGTGATGGTGTACGACATTTCAGACGTTCCCATACATATGTCCATCAGATTATCTGCTACATAGTGGTACTCTGCTGAACACTGTTTCATACCCGGTTGTGTTGCAGTGTCTTGTTATATGATCGTGTAGTGCACTTCTTTTTATGCGCTGTATTTCACAAGTACTGAATGCGTTTAACGTCAAACTACGGAAACTACAACATCATGCTTTCAAATTCAGCACATTTAACATTCGTGAAATTGAAATGCTGTCATGTTACATTCAGATGCGGACGAGTGCGCAGTAGGAACGGATCCTTGCGCGAAAGGTGGCGCCACCTGCAACAACAAACCGAATGGCGGCGGCTATGAGTGCGTTTGTAACAATGGCTCCAAACTCCAGAGTGACGGCGTCACGTGCTTGGGTAGGTGGTTTCTGGGGCAATTACCACGTTCTACCGTAACCTCACACCTGAAACTTGATATCACCAGAACTTCCCCATTTCTTCATAGAGTTACTTATGTCCACTTTGTAAATACGGACCGACGTGTTTGAGGAGTAAGGACATTACCGCCTCATCCTACCGGGTACAAGTTTTATAAGAGAATATTCTGTTTCACACCAAGAACTCAACATGGGCACCTAGAGCAAAGTCTCCCTTTAAACACAATCTTTGCATTGGTGACGTAAGAATACCACGCTGTGACACAGTTCACCTCAGTAGGTGCATTTATAGTTCCGTTAGGAAACATTTAGACAAACAGAGAGCGTAGACCCACGCATCTGTACTAGACCGTACGTCTATTAAACCCCCTGCCACATTACTATCCTAAATGTTTCAGCAAAGAAAACACAAGCTTTCGCTTTAACCCCACCTTATCCTAAGTAAAATTAAATGTTATGAATCTGTATTTTAATTGATATATACATCTTGTCCATTAAGCAAATTTGTATAAATGCCATGTGTATCATGGGCTATATGGACTGACATTGTATACTTTTTATCAATATTTTATCGCCATACCTGATTTGTACGTTTTCTTCTTCATCTTTCTTCTCCTTCTCCTTCATTTTCTTCGTCTTCTTCTTTTTCATCTTCTCATTTAACGTCATCATCCTATTATCACTATTATTCTTTACCACCACCTTCTTCATAGTTTACTTCACATCTTTTTCTTTTTCTTTTTCTAAATCACCACCTTCTTCATCGTCATTTTTTCTCCTTCCTTTGTTTTGTTTATCTTCATCACCTTTTTCATCATCACCCTCTCCTTTATCTTCTTATTCATCATTTTCTCAGTTTCTTCCCATTTCCATCTCCCTAAGTCCTCATCATCTTCTCCTCTTTAGTCTTTACAAGACTCATCTTCTCATTTTTTATGTTCTTCATCATCTTCTTCGTCATCTGCTTCTTATTTCCATCTTCTTCTTTTTATCTTCTCATTCGTTTTCTTCTTTCTCTTTCTTTTTAATATGCATCTTAATCATCTACTTTATCATCATCTGCACCTTTTTCTTTACCCTCATCATCGTCCTTATATTTTTCTTTTCTTCATCATCTGATTCTTATCTTCTTCTCCTTCATCATCTTCTAGAATCATCTTAACCGTCATAAGCTTCTTCATCTTTTTCACCTTCTCGTCGTCTTCTTAATCTTCTCAGTTTTCATCTTCTTGTTCATAATCGTTTTATTTTCATATCATTTTCCTCTTCTATCTTGTTCATCACCTTCTCATATTCTTCTGCTTCATTTTTAATCGTTTTTTTCATTTTTTATACTCTTCTTCGTCATCTTCTTCTTGTCTTTACATTCCCCTATTTAATCGTTTCCTTATTTCTCTTTTTTTTAAATTGTATCGTCTTCATGGTCCTCCTCCTCCTCATCCTCCTCCTCCTCCTCCTCCTCATCATCATCATCATCATCTATTCTTAATCTTTTTTAATTTCTTTCATCATCGTCATCTCCTTCTTCTTCACGGTCCATCTTCTTATTATGTTCTTCTCCTTTTTCATCTCCTCATTCATCTCATCTTCTTCTTCATTGACATCTTTTTTTCACTTTCATATTATCTTCCTCATCTTTAATTTTTTCATCTTGTTCATCCTTCTTCATCGTCGCCTTCTCACTTCTCCTTTTCCATCTCCTTATTCCTCAGCATTTTCATCGTCTTTTTTCACCTCGTGATTTTCTACGTCATATTGTTCATCTTATATTTTTCGTCTTCTTGTTTTTTATCATTTTCTTTTCCTCTTCATCATTTGCTTCTTATCTTCATCTTCTCTTGTGTATGTCTTCTTTGTCTTCTTCATCATCATCTTCTTGGTCTTCTCCCTTTTCACTTCTTCTACTCATTCTTATCTTCTCCATCATTATCTCCTCCTTCATATTTTGTTTTCAAAATCTTCTCATTTTTTGCATCATCTTCGTGGTCATCAGCTTCTTCTTTTTCACCTTCTCATCTTCTTCTTCATCTTTTCATCTTCATGTTCATCCTCGTTTTCATTTTCATCTTCTTATCTCCATCTCCTTTTCCTTTTCTATAGTCTTCATCACCTTCTCATACTTCTCTTTCGTCATCTTCTTCATCATCATCTTCGTATCTTCTTCTTCTATTTGATCGTTTCCTTCTTTTTGTTCATTTTGTATTTCATCATCTTCGTCTTTTTCTTCATCTTCTTCTTCTCTTTTAACTTCCTCTTGTTCGTTTTATCTTCTTGGTCATCACCTTCTTCTCCTTTCTATTGTTCTCCTTCCTCAGCATCGTCTCATTTCTTCATTTTCTTCTCGTTTCCCCATCTTCTTATTCATCTCTTCTTTTTTGTCATCTTCTTCACTTTCTTTCTCACCTTCTCATTTTCTTCATCATTTGTCATTTTTCATATTTTTCATCAGCATCGTCTCGTCATTTACCATTATCTTCTAATTTTCTCATTGATCATCATCAATTTATCATGTTCTTTTTTTTACCTTCTAACTGTGTGCGTCATCTTCTTCATGTCATCATTTTTCATATTCTTCTTAATCATCTTCTCTTTCTTCTTATCTTCTTTTCTTCATCTATATTTTCTTTTTCAAATTATTATTCTTTTATTCAGTATCGTCTTCTTCTTCATGTTCTCAATTTTTTTTCATTTTCATCCTTTCCTTCATTTTCTTTCATTATCTTTTTCATCTTCCTTTCATCATGTTCTTCTGACGCCGCGATATAACTGGAATACTGTTAAAAGCGGCGTTAAACAAAACTCACTCACTCATGTTCTTCTGCATCATCTTCTTCTGCTTTATCTTCTCTTTTTTTTCATCAACCTATCTCCGACAAAGTCCTCTGCTTCATTTCCTCCTTCTCGTCTTCTGGTTCATCATCATCTTCTTATCTTCATCTGGTGACACGGGTTGCCCAGTCGTCTAAGGTGCCGTGATTCGCTGTGCAGAGTTGCATGGGCATGCCAGAAACCTATGATTATGGGTTCAAAACCCCGGTCGCACCGATTTTGGGTTTCAACGAAGTGGTAAACGTCTGAGACCTGCATCACTTCGGGCTTTCCTCACACATTTAACTGATACGCCGTGATCTAACTGGAATACTGTTAAAAGCGGCGTTAAACCCAACTCACTCACTCACTCACTCACTCTTATCTTCATCTGATATGTCTTTTCTATCGTCTTCATTTTAATCTTATTCGCCTTCTTTTTCACCTTCTTAGCTTCTTCGTCTTCTCATTTTTATCATCTTTATCATCTTTTTATTATCTTCATCTCCTTATCCTGTTCTCCTTCATCAGCAATTTCTGCTTTTGCTTTTTTCACCTTCCTATCTTCTTCATCGCCTTCTTCGTCATCGTCATCTCATTCTTCATCTTCATCTTGTTCTTCTTATCTTCTTCCTCATCATCATCGTATTTTTCTGCTTTTCCATCATCTTATCATCTTCTTCATCTTCTCATTTTTCTTCTTCTTGTCAATCATCTTCTTCTCCGTTTGTATCTTCTTCACCTTCTCCATCATCTTCTTCTTATTTTGTCATTTTCATCATTACTTTTAGTCTTCGTCATCTTTTTTCATCATCTTCCACTTCTCATTTTATCATGTTCATCAATTAAATTATATTCTTCTTCATCTCCTTCATCTTCTCCTATTCCTTCTTCTTTATCTCTTCTTTATCGCGTTCTCTTTTACCATCTTCATTGTCTCCATCATCATCTTCATCTTCTTCATCGTCGTCTTCTTCTATACCTTCTTAATCTTGATTAAACTAAAAACTAACTCCTTAAGTTGTAGTGTAGTTGTATCAAAACGTGTAACTGTTGTAACTGCAAATAAATCCTGTGAATCATCGTCTAAAACTGCATCTACTCCGAGAATAGAGTATCTATTACATATTACTGCAACATGTAACCAAAAAACTGTTGCTTCTTCTTTAAAAAGCAATACAGTTATCTGTCACTATAGCACGTTGTAATATTCAATATTACAATCAACTCATGTACGATCTGCTTATACAGTCCCGACATGGCTGAAATATTGCCGAATTGAGTCACGCACTCTTCTGAGTCTCTTTTTCTAAGTGGCTAAAAAAAGGACCGGTCAGCTCGGAGTCAGTATACTGTGTTTTCATGTTACACCGCGGCGTGGTATGGTATCTCAGTGGGCTAGCACTATAAAATCAGCATAAGGCCGGAATAGTAAAAGCAGACACACACACACACACACACACACACACACACAAAAACACACACACAAAAACACACACACACAAAAACAACAACAACACACACACACACACACACACACACACACACACACACACACACACACAAACACACACACACACACACAAACACACACACACACACACACACACGCACGTGCAATATTCATGAAAGTGACATTAAACCCTATTTCACCTCACCTCACCTACAACTTATCATACACTCTTATGTATGAAGAATATTCTTTGTTACAAGTAGCAACTTCTAACATTGACCATAATGTCTGCATATTAACATATCCTTTAAGATAAAAAAAATTATTTTTCTTATCCATGATTATGAAGAAAGTAAAACACAAAGTTTGACGGCCATAACATTATACTTCACGGATCATATCATGGTTCTTACACAAGTTTGAATGCATTTGCACGTAGTTTTTCATGTATATTTTCGCATTCAACATCCGCCTAACTGACTGCTTGATTGTGTGACAGATACGGATGAATGCCGGGACATAAGCACCTGTAGCGGGACACCAAACTCTACCTGTAGGAATTCTGTCGGCGGCTTTGCCTGCGACTGCGACAGCGGTTACGTCAAGAACGCCTCCACAAACAAATGTGATGGTAAGTCTGGAACTTCTGAAATTCGCTTAAAATTAATTCTCCCAATACACCCACACACTCCCTCACCCTTGCATAATGGTGTAAAGAAGCAAAGTCTAATGTGGTTTACATGGACCGAATTATTTTATTGTTCAATCTCCATATTGATCTTCTCATTGTTGGGGAGTCATAATCCAGCAGTGGTTAAGGAAACAGAAGATCAATACAGAATATCCCCTGATGACATAGCTGGGGGAATATGTTGATATTGGTGTGGAAACCAAGCTCAAGTACATCAAGCCAGTTTTGAAGATCATTACCGCTCTTTCAAGTAAACAACTTTGTTAAAAAAAAGCATCATATTTCTAGTTTACGGAACATATACTATACGTTTTATCTGTAAATTGTACTTTATATTTTATTAACTTGTCAGACGTGAACGAGTGCACCGCAAACATGACCATCTGCTCCGGACTGATCAATTCCAACTGCAACAACACAGACGGAAGTTACAGATGTGATTGTGGCTCAGGCTTCCTCAAGAACACCACCACCAATCGCTGTGATGGTAAGTGAAGTCATCGCCTACAATTATAGCACTGAAGGCTAAGCTACTCTTACAACCATAGCTTCTACATTTTTAAAATGTAGCATTTCCTCTTTTAATTGTATCAACCATTACTATCACTGAAACAACCTTTATTGTACAACCCTGGTATTGTCTAATTGTGACGTATAATCCAACCTTTATGATAAATACAATAATGTTTCTCATGCATGGTTACAATACAATATAAAACTCAAATATTGACTTCACAACTGTCCAAGTCAAGTCATGATTCTTACACTAGATTGATAACAATTAGACCCACATGTTGTATAACTTCTCATTCAACGTCGTCATACTGCCTGCTTTCGTGTGTGACAGATATTGATGAGTGCCAGGACACCCACAAATGTAGCGGTACACCAAACTCAACCTGCAGCAACTCCCCAGGCTCCTTCTCCTGCAACTGCGACAACGGCTACGTCAAGAACGTCACCACCACCAAATGTGATGGTAAGTCAGGTTTCTTTACCAGAACCAAACTCCAAAACTCGCAACCCACTAAGTATCCACGTTTATGCTCAGCTATCACTCAACTTATGTAATACTTCAAGATGTGCTTGTATGGAAGCAGAGATGCACAGGTCACTTTTATCCGCCGCACATTTGCCCCAAGACAGACCTAATTTTGCAACGTGATGCTTTCTTAGGATCGAACACATTTGCTGAAGGTGATCTGGCATCTCAGTCGTAAAGGTTACGTTAAGCTATTGTTTTCAGGAACAAAAGTGAGTGAGTTGGGTTAAGTACCCCGTTGAAAAATATTTCTGTTATATCAAGGTGTTTTACACTTTGGAGATACCCACTGGCACGGGTATGGTGCTGACAATTTAATGAAAGAGGACCTGAAATTCAAACCAACAGTGTATTCAAGCACATATAGAGCACGGCGAACAGCGAACTACACAGCGAACTGTGGTGCCTTAGATAAAAGGGCCAGCCGTTACCGTTGCCATTAGAATTGTCCTTGTTGACGAATTTTCAATTCCATGGTCCTGTGGCAATGTGTCTTTTGTAATATGTGACCTTATAGGTGCTGGGATGCAATTGTGCTGTGACATCATAAAGACGTTTGACGTCAATTTACTTCGATGAAAATCGCCATGTGTGCGGACTGTACAAACATATCACATTTTTCTCTCTTTAGTTCTTAATGGAATGAAGAGATTATTTCAAAACCTTTTATCATGCATGGTTACTTTCAATTCATCAGACATTATGTTTAAACCTGCAATTATTACATAATATCATCAGTCGGAATATGACTCCAAACGTTTGATGCAATGTATTTCTGTAATAGACATGAATTGAAGGAAACAGAAGATCAATACAGAATATCCCCTGATGACATAGCTGGGGGAATATGTTGATATTGGTGTGGAAACCAAGCTCAAGTACATCAAGCCAGTTTTGAAGATCATTACCGCTCTTTCAAGTAAACAACTTTGTTAAAAAAAAAGCATCATATTTCTAGTTTACGGAACATATACTATACGTTTTATCTGTAAATTGTACTTTATATTTATTAACTTGTCAGACGTGAACGAGTGCACCGCAAACATGACCATCTGCTCCGGACTGGCTGACTCCAACTGCAACAACACAGACGGAAGTTACAGATGTGATTGTGGCTCAGGCTTCCTCAAGAACACCACCACTAATCGCTGTGATGGTAAGTGAAGTCATCGCCTACAACTATAGCACTGAAGGCTAAGCTACTCTTACAACCATAGCTTCTACATTTTTAAAATGTAGCATTTCCTCTTTTAATTGTATCAACCATTACTATCACTGAAACAACCTTTATTGTACAACCCTGGTATTGTCTAATTGTGACGTATAATCCAACCTTTATGATAAATACAATAATGTTTCTCATGCATGGTTACAATACAATATAAAACTCAAATATTGACTTCACAACTGTCCAAGTCAAGTCATGATTCTTACACTAGATTGATAACAATTAGACCCACATGCTGTATAACTTCTCATTCAACGTCGTCATACTGCCTGCTTTCGTGTGTGACAGATATTGATGAGTGCCAGGACACCAACAAATGTAGCGGTACACCAAACTCAACCTGTAGCAACTCCCCAGGCTCCTTCTCCTGCAACTGCGACAACGGCTACGTCAAGAACGTCACCACCACCAAATGTGATGGTAAGTCAGGTTTCTTTACCAGAACCAAACTCCAAAACTCGCAACCCACTAAGTATCCACGTTTATGCTCAGCTATCACTCAACTTATGTAATACTTCAAGATGTGCTTGTATGGAAGCAGAGATGCACAGGTCACTTTTATCCGCCGCACATTTGCCCCAAGACAGACCTAATTTTGCAACGTGATGCTTTCTTAGGATCGAACACATTTGCTGAAGGTGATCTGGCATCTCAGTCGTAAAGGTTACGTTAAGCTATTGTTTTCAGGAACAAAAGTGAGTGAGTTGGGTTAAGTACCCCGTTGAAAAATATTTCTGTTATATCAAGGTGTTTTACACTTTGGTGATACCCACTGGCACGACGGGTATGGTGCTGACAATTTAATGAAAGAGGACCTGAAATTCAAACCAACAGTGTATTCAAGCACATATAGAGCACGGCGAACAGCGAACTACACAGCGAACTGTGGTGCCTTAGATAAAAGGGCCAGCCGTTACCGTTGCCATTAGAATTGTCCTTGTTGACGAATTTTCAATTCCATGGTCCTGTGGCAATGTGTCTTTTGTTATATGTGACCTTATAGGTGCTGGGATGCAATTGTGCTGTGACATCATAAAGACGTTTGACGTCAATTTACTTCGATGAAAATCGCCATGTGTGCGGACTGTACAAACATATCACATTTTTCTCTCTTTAGTTCTTAATGGAATGAAGAGATTATTTCAAAACCTTTTATCATGCATGGCTACTTTCAATTCATCAGACATTATGTTTAAACCTGCAATTATTACATAAATATCATCAGTCGGAATATGACTCCAAACGTTTGATGCAATGTATTTCTGTAATAGACATGAATTGAAGGAAACAGAAGATCAATACAGAATATCCCCTGATGACATAGCTGGGGGAATATGTTGATATTGGTGTGGAAACCAAGCTCAAGTACATCAAGCCAGTTTTGAAGATCATTACCGCTCTTTCAAGTAAACAACTTTGTTAAAAAAAAAGCATCATATTTCTAGTTTACGGAACATATACTATACGTTTTATCTGTAAATTGTACTTTATATTTATTAACTTGTCAGACGTGAACGAGTGCACCGCAAACATGACCATCTGCTCCGGACTGGCTGACTCCAACTGCAACAACACAGACGGAAGTTACAGATGTGATTGTGGCTCAGGCTTCCTCAAGAACACCACCACTAATCGCTGTGATGGTAAGTGAAGTCATCGCCTACAACTATAGCACTGAAGGCTAAGCTACTCTTACAACCATAGCTTCTACATTTTTAAAATGTAGCATTTCCTCTTTTAATTGTATCAACCATTACTATCACTGAAACAACCTTTATTGTACAACCCTGGTATTGTCTAATTGTGACGTATAATCCAACCTTTATGATAAATACAATAATATTTCTCATGCATGGTTACAATACAATATAAAACTCAAATATTGACTTCACAACTGTCCAAGTCAAGTCATGATTCTTACACTAGATTGATAACAATTAGACCCACATGTTGTATAACTTCTCATTCAACGTCGTCATACTGCCTGCTTTCGTGTGTGACAGATATTGATGAGTGCCAGGACACCAACAAATGTAGCGGTACACCAAACTCAACCTGTAGCAACTCCCCAGGCTCCTTCTCCTGCAACTGCGACAACGGCTACGTCAAGAACGTCACCACCACCAAATGTGATGGTAAGTCAGGTTTCTTTACCAGAACCAAACTCCAAAACTCGCAACCCACTAAGTATCCACGTTTATGCTCAGCTATCACTCAACTTATGTAATACTTCAAGATGTGCTTGTATGGAAGCAGAGATGCACAGGTCACTTTTATCCGCCGCACATTTGCCCCAAGACAGACCTAATTTTGCAACGTGATGCTTTCTTAGGATCGAACACATTTGCTGAAGGTGATCTGGCATCTCAGTCGTAAAGGTTACGTTAAGCTATTGTTTTCAGGAACAAAAGTGAGTGAGTTGGGTTAAGTACCCCGTTGAAAAATATTTCTGTTATATCAAGGTGTTTTACACTTTGGTGATACCCACTGGCACGACGGGTATGGTGCTGACAATTTAATGAAAGAGGACCTGAAATTCAAACCAACAGTGTATTCAAGCACATATAGAGCACGGCGAACAGCGAACTACACAGCGAACTGTGGTGCCTTAGATAAAAGGGCCAGCCGTTACCGTTGCCATTAGAATTGTCCTTGTTGACGAATTTTCAATTCCATGGTCCTGTGGCAATGTGTCTTTTGTTATATGTGACCTTATAGGTGCTGGGATGCAATTGTGCTGTGACATCATAAAGACGTTTGACGTCAATTTACTTCGATGAAAATCGCCATGTGTGCGGACTGTACAAACATATCACATTTTTCTCTCTTTAGTTCTTAATGGAATGAAGAGATTATTTCAAAACCTTTTATCATGCATGGCTACTTTCAATTCATCAGACATTATGTTTAAACCTGCAATTATTACATAAATATCATCAGTCGGAATATGACTCCAAACGTTTGATGCAATGTATTTCTGTAATAGACATGAATTGAAGGAAACAGAAGATCAATACAGAATATCCCCTGATGACATAGCTGGGGGAATATGTTGATATTGGTGTGGAAACCAAGCTCAAGTACATCAAGCCAGTTTTGAAGATCATTACCGCTCTTTCAAGTAAACAACTTTGTTAAAAAAAAAGCATCATATTTCTAGTTTACGGAACATATACTATACGTTTTATCTGTAAATTGTACTTTATATTTATTAACTTGTCAGACGTGAACGAGTGCACCGCAAACATGACCATCTGCTCCGGACTGGCTGACTCCAACTGCAACAACACAGACGGAAGTTACAGATGTGATTGTGGCTCAGGCTTCCTCAAGAACACCACCACTAATCGCTGTGATGGTAAGTGAAGTCATCGCCTACAACTATAGCACTGAAGGCTAAGCTACTCTTACAACCATAGCTTCTACATTTTTAAAATGTAGCATTTCCTCTTTTAATTGTATCAACCATTACTATCACTGAAACAACCTTTATTGTACAACCCTGGTATTGTCTAATTGTGACGTATAATCCAACCTTTATGATAAATACAATAATGTTTCTCATGCATGGTTACAATACAATATAAAACTCAAATATTGACTTCACAACTGTCCAAGTCAAGTCATGATTCTTACACTAGATTGATAACAATTAGACCCACATGTTGTATAACTTCTCATTCAACGTCGTCATACTGCCTGCTTTCGTGTGTGACAGATATTGATGAGTGCCAGGACACCAACAAATGTAGCGGTACACCAAACTCAACCTGTAGCAACTCCCCAGGCTCCTTCTCCTGCAACTGCGACAACGGCTACGTCAAGAACGTCACCACCACCAAATGTGATGGTAAGTCAGGTTTCTTTACCAGAACCAAACTCCAAAACTCGCAACCCACTAAGTATCCACGTTTATGCTCAGCTATCACTCAACTTATGTAATACTTCAAGATGTGCTTGTATGGAAGCAGAGATGCACAGGTCACTTTTATCCGCCGCACATTTGCCCCAAGACAGACCTAATTTTGCAACGTGATGCTTTCTTAGGATCGAACACATTTGCTGAAGGTGATCTGGCATCTCAGTCGTAAAGGTTACGTTAAGCTATTGTTTTCAGGAACAAAAGTGAGTGAGTTGGGTTAAGTACCCCGTTGAAAAATATTTCTGTTATATCAAGGTGTTTTACACTTTGGTGATACCCACTGGCACGACGGGTATGGTGCTGACAATTTAATGAAAGAGGACCTGAAATTCAAACCAACAGTGTATTCAAGCACATATAGAGCACGGCGAACAGCGAACTACACAGCGAACTGTGGTGCCTTAGATAAAAGGGCCAGCCGTTACCGTTGCCATTAGAATTGTCCTTGTTGACGAATTTTCAATTCCATGGTCCTGTGGCAATGTGTCTTTTGTTATATGTGACCTTATAGGTGCTGGGATGCAATTGTGCTGTGACATCATAAAGACGTTTGACGTCAATTTACTTCGATGAAAATCGCCATGTGTGCGGACTGTACAAACATATCACATTTTTCTCTCTTTAGTTCTTAATGGAATGAAGAGATTATTTCAAAACCTTTTATCATGCATGGCTACTTTCAATTCATCAGACATTATGTTTAAACCTGCAATTATTACATAAATATCATCAGTCGGAATATGACTCCAAACGTTTGATGCAATGTATTTCTGTAATAGACATGAATTGAAGGAAACAGAAGATCAATACAGAATATCCCCTGATGACATAGCTGGGGGAATATGTTGATATTGGTGTGGAAACCAAGCTCAAGTACATCAAGCCAGTTTTGAAGATCATTACCGCTCTTTCAAGTAAACAACTTTGTTAAAAAAAAAAGCATCATATTTCTAGTTTACGGAACATATACTATACGTTTTATCTGTAAATTGTACTTTATATTTATTAACTTGTCAGACGTGAACGAGTGCACCGCAAACATGACCATCTGCTCCGGACTGGCTGACTCCAACTGCAACAACACAGACGGAAGTTACAGATGTGATTGTGGCTCAGGCTTCCTCAAGAACACCACCACTAATCGCTGTGATGGTAAGTGAAGTCATCGCCTACAACTATAGCACTGAAGGCTAAGCTACTCTTACAACCATAGCTTCTACATTTTTAAAATGTAGCATTTCCTCTTTTAATTGTATCAACCATTACTATCACTGAAACAACCTTTATTGTACAACCCTGGTATTGTCTAATTGTGACGTATAATCCAACCTTTATGATAAATACAATAATGTTTCTCATGCATGGTTACAATACAATATAAAACTCAAATATTGACTTCACAACTGTCCAAGTCAAGTCATGATTCTTACACTAGATTGATAACAATTAGACCCACATGTTGTATAACTTCTCATTCAACGTCGTCATACTGCCTGCTTTCGTGTGTGACAGATATTGATGAGTGCCAGGACACCAACAAATGTAGCGGTACACCAAACTCAACCTGTAGCAACTCCCCAGGCTCCTTCTCCTGCAACTGCGACAACGGCTACGTCAAGAACGTCACCACCACCAAATGTGATGGTAAGTCAGGTTTCTTTACCAGAACCAAACTCCAAAACTCGCAACCCACTAAGTATCCACGTTTATGCTCAGCTATCACTCAACTTATGTAATACTTCAAGATGTGCTTGTATGGAAGCAGAGATGCACAGGTCACTTTTATCCGCCGCACATTTGCCCCAAGACAGACCTAATTTTGCAACGTGATGCTTTCTTAGGATCGAACACATTTGCTGAAGGTGATCTGGCATCTCAGTCGTAAAGGTTACGTTAAGCTATTGTTTTCAGGAACAAAAGTGAGTGAGTTGGGTTAAGTACCCCGTTGAAAAATATTTCTGTTATATCAAGGTGTTTTACACTTTGGTGATACCCACTGGCACGACGGGTATGGTGCTGACAATTTAATGAAAGAGGACCTGAAATTCAAACCAACAGTGTATTCAAGCACATATAGAGCACGGCGAACAGCGAACTACACAGCGAACTGTGGTGCCTTAGATAAAAGGGCCAGCCGTTACCGTTGCCATTAGAATTGTCCTTGTTGACGAATTTTCAATTCCATGGTCCTGTGGCAATGTGTCTTTTGTTATATGTGACCTTATAGGTGCTGGGATACAATTGTGCTGTGACATCATAAAGACGTTTGACGTCAATTTACTTCGATGAAAATCGCCATGTGTGCGGACTGTACAAACATATCACATTTTTCTCTCTTTAGTTCTTAATGGAATGAAGAGATTATTTCAAAACCTTTTATCATGCATGGCTACTTTCAATTCATCAGACATTATGTTTAAACCTGCAATTATTACATAAATATCATCAGTCGGAATATGACTCCAAACGTTTGATGCAATGTATTTCTGTAATAGACATGAATTGAAGGAAACAGAAGATCAATACAGAATATCCCCTGATGACATAGCTGGGGGAATATGTTGATATTGGTGTGGAAACCAAGCTCAAGTACATCAAGCCAGTTTTGAAGATCATTACCGCTCTTTCAAGTAAACAACTTTGTTAAAAAAAAAAGCATCATATTTCTAGTTTACGGAACATATACTATACGTTTTATCTGTAAATTGTACTTTATATTTATTAACTTGTCAGACGTGAACGAGTGCACCGCAAACATGACCATCTGCTCCGGACTGGCTGACTCCAACTGCAACAACACAGACGGAAGTTACAGATGTGATTGTGGCTCAGGCTTCCTCAAGAACACCACCACTAATCGCTGTGATGGTAAGTGAAGTCATCGCCTACAACTATAGCACTGAAGGCTAAGCTACTCTTACAACCATAGCTTCTACATTTTTAAAATGTAGCATTTCCTCTTTTAATTGTATCAACCATTACTATCACTGAAACAACCTTTATTGTACAACCCTGGTATTGTCTAATTGTGACGTATAATCCAACCTTTATGATAAATACAATAATGTTTCTCATGCATGGTTACAATACAATATAAAACTCAAATATTGACTTCACAACTGTCCAAGTCAAGTCATGATTCTTACACTAGATTGATAACAATTAGACCCACATGTTGTATAACTTCTCATTCAACGTCGTCATACTGCCTGCTTTCGTGTGTGACAGATATTGATGAGTGCCAGGACACCAACAAATGTAGCGGTACACCAAACTCAACCTGTAGCAACTCCCCAGGCTCCTTCTCCTGCAACTGCGACAACGGCTACGTCAAGAACGTCACCACCACCAAATGTGATGGTAAGTCAGGTTTCTTTACCAGAACCAAACTCCAAAACTCGCAACCCACTAAGTATCCACGTTTATGCTCAGCTATCACTCAACTTATGTAATACTTCAAGATGTGCTTGTATGGAAGCAGAGATGCACAGGTCACTTTTATCCGCCGCACATTTGCCCCAAGACAGACCTAATTTTGCAACGTGATGCTTTCTTAGGATCGAACACATTTGCTGAAGGTGATCTGGCATCTCAGTCGTAAAGGTTACGTTAAGCTATTGTTTTCAGGAACAAAAGTGAGTGAGTTGGGTTAAGTACCCCGTTGAAAAATATTTCTGTTATATCAAGGTGTTTTACACTTTGGTGATACCCACTGGCACGACGGGTATGGTGCTGACAATTTAATGAAAGAGGACCTGAAATTCAAACCAACAGTGTATTCAAGCACATATAGAGCACGGCGAACAGCGAACTACACAGCGAACTGTGGTGCCTTAGATAAAAGGGCCAGCCGTTACCGTTGCCATTAGAATTGTCCTTGTTGACGAATTTTCAATTCCATGGTCCTGTGGCAATGTGTCTTTTGTTATATGTGACCTTATAGGTGCTGGGATACAATTGTGCTGTGACATCATAAAGACGTTTGACGTCAATTTACTTCGATGAAAATCGCCATGTGTGCGGACTGTACAAACATATCACATTTTTCTCTCTTTAGTTCTTAATGGAATGAAGAGATTATTTCAAAACCTTTTATCATGCATGGCTACTTTCAATTCATCAGACATTATGTTTAAACCTGCAATTATTACATAATATCATCAGTCGGAATATGACTCCAAACGTTTGATGCAATGTATTTCTGTAATAGACATGAATTGAAGGAAACAGAAGATCAATACAGAATATCCCCTGATGACATAGCTGGGGGAATATGTTGATATTGGTGTGGAAACCAAGCTCAAGTACATCAAGCCAGTTTTGAAGATCATTACCGCTCTTTCAAGTAAACAACTTTGTTAAAAAAAAAGCATCATATTTCTAGTTTACGGAACATACACTATACGTTTTATCTGTAAATTGTACTTTATATTTATTAACTTGTCAGACGTGAACGAGTGCACCGCAAACATGACCATCTGCTCCGGACTGGCTGACTCCAACTGCAACAACACAGACGGAAGTTACAGATGTGATTGTGGCTCAGGCTTCCTCAAGAACACCACCACTAATCGCTGTGATGGTAAGTGAAGTCATCGCCTACAACTATAGCACTGAAGGCTAAGCTACTCTTACAACCATAGCTTCTACATTTTTAAATTGTAGCATTTCCTCTTTTAATTGTATCAACCATTACTATCACTGAAACAACCTTTATTGTACAACCCTGGTATTGTCTAATTGTGACGTATAATCCAACCTTTATGATAAATACAATAATGTTTCTCATGCAATGTTACAATACAATATAAAACTCAAATATTGACTTCACAACTGTCCAAGTCAAGTCATGATTCTTACACTAGATTGATAACAATTAGACCCACATGTTGTATAACTTCTCATTCAACGTCGTCATACTGCCTGCTTTCGTGTGTGACAGATATTGATGAGTGCCAGGACACCCACAAATGTAGCGGTACACCAAACTCAACCTGTAGCAACTCCCCAGGCTCCTTCTCCTGCAACTGCGACAACGGCTACGTCAAGAACGTCACCACCACCAAATGTGATGGTAAGTCAGGTTTCTTTACCAGAACCAAACTCCAAAACTCGCAACCCACTAAGTATCCACGTTTATGCTCAGCTATCACTCAACTTATGTAATACTTCAAGATGTGCTTGTATGGAAGCAGAGATGCACAGGTCACTTTTATCCGCCGCACATTTGCCCCAAGACAGACCTAATTTTGCAACGTGATGCTTTCTTAGGATCGAACACATTTGCTGAAGGTGATCTGGCATCTCAGTCGTAAAGGTTACGTTAAGCTATTGTTTTCAGGAACAAAAGTGAGTGAGTTGGGTTAAGTACCCCGTTGAAAAATATTTCTGTTATATCAAGGTGTTTTACACTTTGGTGATACCCACTGGCACGACGGGTATGGTGCTGACAATTTAATGAAAGAGGACCTGAAATTCAAACCAACAGTGTATTCAAGCACATATAGAGCACGGCGAACAGCGAACTACACAGCGAACTGTGGTGCCTTAGATAAAAGGGCCAGCCGTTACCGTTGCCATTAGAATTGTCCTTGTTGACGAATTTTCAATTCCATGGTCCTGTGGCAATGTGTCTTTTGTTATATGTGACCTTATAGGTGCTGGGATACAATTGTGCTGTGACATCATAAAGACGTTTGACGTCAATTTACTTCGATGAAAATCGCCATGTGTGCGGACTGTACAAACATATCACATTTTTCTCTCTTTAGTTCTTAATGGAATGAAGAGATTATTTCAAAACCTTTTATCATGCATGGCTACTTTCAATTCATCAGACATTATGTTTAAACCTGCAATTATTACATAAATATCATCAGTCGGAATATGACTCCAAACGTTTGATGCAATGTATTTCTGTAATAGACATGAATTGAAGGAAACAGAAGATCAATACAGAATATCCCCTGATGACATAGCTGGGGGAATATGTTGATATTGGTGTGGAAACCAAGCTCAAGTACATCAAGCCAGTTTTGAAGATCATTACCGCTCTTTCAAGTAAACAACTTTGTTAAAAAAAAAGCATCATATTTCTAGTTTACGGAACATATACTATACGTTTTATCTGTAAATTGTACTTTATATTTATTTACTTGTCAGACGTGAACGAGTGCACCGCAAACATGACCATCTGCTCCGGACTGGCTGACTCCAACTGCAACAACACAGACGGAAGTTACAGATGTGATTGTGGCTCAGGCTTCCTCAAGAACACCACCACTAATCGCTGTGATGGTAAGTGAAGTCATCGCCTACAACTATAGCACTGAAGGCTAAGCTACTCTTACAACCATAGCTTCTACATTTTTAAATTGTAGCATTTCCTCTTTTAATTGTATCAACCATTACTATCACTGAAACAACCTTTATTGTACAACCCTGGTATTGTCTAATTGTGACGTATAATCCAACCTTTATGATAAATACAATAATGTTTCTCATGCAATGTTACAATACAATATAAAACTCAAATATTGACTTCACAACTGTCCAAGTCAAGTCATGATTCTTACACTAGATTGATAACAATTAGACCCACATGTTGTATAACTTCTCATTCAACGTCGTCATACTGCCTGCTTTCGTGTGTGACAGATATTGATGAGTGCCAGGACACCCACAAATGTAGCGGTACACCAAACTCAACCTGTAGCAACTCCCCAGGCTCCTTCTCCTGCAACTGCGACAACGGCTACGTCAAGAACGTCACCACCACCAAATGTGATGGTAAGTCAGGTTTCTTTACCAGAACCAAACTCCAAAACTCGCAACCCACTAAGTATCCACGTTTATGCTCAGCTATCACTCAACTTATGTAATACTTCAAGATGTGCTTGTATGGAAGCAGAGATGCACAGGTCACTTTTATCCGCCGCACATTTGCCCCAAGACAGACCTAATTTTGCAACGTGATGCTTTCTTAGGATCGAACACATTTGCTGAAGGTGATCTGGCATCTCAGTCGTAAAGGTTACGTTAAGCTATTGTTTTCAGGAACAAAAGTGAGTGAGTTGGGTTAAGTACCCCGTTGAAAAATATTTCTGTTATATCAAGGTGTTTTACACTTTGGTGATACCCACTGGCACGACGGGTATGGTGCTGACAATTTAATGAAAGAGGACCTGAAATTCAAACCAACAGTGTATTCAAGCACATATAGAGCACGGCGAACAGCGAACTACACAGCGAACTGTGGTGCCTTAGATAAAAGGGCCAGCCGTTACCGTTGCCATTAGAATTGTCCTTGTTGACGAATTTTCAATTCCATGGTCCTGTGGCAATGTGTCTTTTGTTATATGTGACCTTATAGGTGCTGGGATGCAATTGTGCTGTGACATCATAAAGACGTTTGACGTCAATTTACTTCGATGAAAATCGCCATGTGTGCGGACTGTACAAACATATCACATTTTTCTCTCTTTAGTTCTTAATGGAATGAAGAGATTATTTCAAAACCTTTTATCATGCATGGCTACTTTCAATTCATCAGACATTATGTTTAAACCTGCAATTATTACATAAATATCATCAGTCGGAATATGACTCCAAACGTTTGATGCAATGTATTTCTGTAATAGACATGAATTGAAGGAAACAGAAGATCAATACAGAATATCCCCTGATGACATAGCTGGGGGAATATGTTGATATTGGTGTGGAAACCAAGCTCAAGTACATCAAGCCAGTTTTGAAGATCATTACCGCTCTTTCAAGTAAACAACTTTGTTAAAAAAAAAGCATCATATTTCTAGTTTACGGAACATATACTATACGTTTTATCTGTAAATTGTACTTTATATTTATTAACTTGTCAGACGTGAACGAGTGCACCGCAAACATGACCATCTGCTCCGGACTGGCTGACTCCAACTGCAACAACACAGACGGAAGTTACAGATGTGATTGTGGCTCAGGCTTCCTCAAGAACACCACCACCAATCGCTGTGATGGTAAGTGAAGTCATCGCCTACAACTATAGCACTGAAGGCTAAGCTACTCTTACAACCATAGCTTCTACATTTTTAAAATGTAGCATTTCCTCTTTTAATTGTATCAACCATTACTATCACTGAAACAACCTTTATTGTACAACCCTGGTATTGTCTAATTGTGACGTATAATCCAACCTTTATGATAAATACAATAATGTTTCTCATGCATGGTTACAATACAATATAAAACTCAAATATTGACTTCACAACTGTCCAAGTCAAGTCATGATTCTTACACTAGATTGATAACAATTAGACCCACATGTTGTATAACTTCTCATTCAACGTCGTCATACTGCCTGCTTTCGTGTGTGACAGATATTGATGAGTGCCAGGACACCCACAAATGTAGCGGTACACCAAACTCAACCTGTAGCAACTCCCCAGGCTCCTTCTCCTGCAACTGCGACAACGGCTACGTCAAGAACGTCACCACCACCAAATGTGATGGTAAGTCAGGTTTCTTTACCAGAACCAAACTCCAAAACTCGCAACCCACTAAGTATCCACGTTTATGCTCAGCTATCACTCAACTTATGTAATACTTCAAGATGTGCTTGTATGGAAGCAGAGATGCACAGGTCACTTTTATCCGCCGCACATTTGCCCCAAGACAGACCTAATTTTGCAACGTGATGCTTTCTTAGGATCGAACACATTTGCTGAAGGTGATCTGGCATCTCAGTCGTAAAGGTTACGTTAAGCTATTGTTTTCAGGAACAAAAGTGAGTGAGTTGGGTTAAGTACCCCGTTGAAAAATATTTCTGTTATATCAAGGTGTTTTACACTTTGGTGATACCCACTGGCACGACGGGTATGGTGCTGACAATTTAATGAAAGAGGACCTGAAATTCAAACCAACAGTGTATTCAAGCACATATAGAGCACGGCGAACAGCGAACTACACAGCGAACTGTGGTGCCTTAGATAAAAGGGCCAGCCGTTACCGTTGCCATTAGAATTGTCCTTGTTGACGAATTTTCAATTCCATGGTCCTGTGGCAATGTGTCTTTTGTTATATGTGACCTTATAGGTGCTGGGATGCAATTGTGCTGTGACATCATAAAGACGTTTGACGTCAATTTACTTCGATGAAAATCGCCATGTGTGCGGACTGTACAAACATATCACATTTTTCTCTCTTTAGTTCTTAATGGAATGAAGAGATTATTTCAAAACCTTTTATCATGCATGGCTACTTTCAATTCATCAGACATTATGTTTAAACCTGCAATTATTACATAAATATCATCAGTCGGAATATGACTCCAAACGTTTGATGCAATGTATTTCTGTAATAGACATGAATTGAAGGAAACAGAAGATCAATACAGAATATCCCCTGATGACATAGCTGGGGGAATATGTTGATATTGGTGTGGAAACCAAGCTCAAGTACATCAAGCCAGTTTTGAAGATCATTACCGCTCTTTCAAGTAAACAACTTTGTTAAAAAAAAAGCATCATATTTCTAGTTTACGGAACATATACTATACGTTTTATCTGTAAATTGTACTTTATATTTATTAACTTGTCAGACGTGAACGAGTGCACCGCAAACATGACCATCTGCTCCGGACTGGCTGACTCCAACTGCAACAACACAGACGGAAGTTACAGATGTGATTGTGGCTCAGGCTTCCTCAAGAACACCACCACCAATCGCTGTGATGGTAAGTGAAGTCATCGCCTACAACTATAGCACTGAAGGCTAAGCTACTCTTACAACCATAGCTTCTACATTTTTAAAATGTAGCATTTCCTCTTTTAATTGTATCAACCATTACTATCACTGAAACAACCTTTATTGTACAACCCTGGTATTGTCTAATTGTGACGTATAATCCAACCTTTATGATAAATACAATAATGTTTCTCATGCATGGTTACAATACAATATAAAACTCAAATATTGACTTCACAACTGTCCAAGTCAAGTCATGATTCTTACACTAGATTGATAACAATTAGACCCACATGTTGTATAACTTCTCATTCAACGTCGTCATACTGCCTGCTTTCGTGTGTGACAGATATTGATGAGTGCCAGGACACCCACAAATGTAGCGGTACACCAAACTCAACCTGTAGCAACTCCCCAGGCTCCTTCTCCTGCAACTGCGACAACGGCTACGTCAAGAACGTCACCACCACCAAATGTGATGGTAAGTCAGGTTTCTTTACCAGAACCAAACTCCAAAACTCGCAACCCACTAAGTATCCACGTTTATGCTCAGCTATCACTCAACTTATGTAATACTTCAAGATGTGCTTGTATGGAAGCAGAGATGCACAGGTCACTTTTATCCGCCGCACATTTGCCCCAAGACAGACCTAATTTTGCAACGTGATGCTTTCTTAGGATCGAACACATTTGCTGAAGGTGATCTGGCATCTCAGTCGTAAAGGTTACGTTAAGCTATTGTTTTCAGGAACAAAAGTGAGTGAGTTGGGTTAAGTACCCCGTTGAAAAATATTTCTGTTATATCAAGGTGTTTTACACTTTGGTGATACCCACTGGCACGACGGGTATGGTGCTGACAATTTAATGAAAGAGGACCTGAAATTCAAACCAACAGTGTATTCAAGCACATATAGAGCACGGCGAACAGCGAACTACACAGCGAACTGTGGTGCCTTAGATAAAAGGGCCAGCCGTTACCGTTGCCATTAGAATTGTCCTTGTTGACGAATTTTCAATTCCATGGTCCTGTGGCAATGTGTCTTTTGTTATATGTGACCTAATAGGTGCTGGGATGCAATTGTGCTGTGACATCATAAAGACGTTTGACGTCAATTTACTTCGGTGAAAATCACCATGTGTGCGGACTGTACAAACATATCACATTTTTCTCTCTTTAGTTCTTAATGTAATGAAGAGATTATTTCAAAACCTTTTATCATGCATGGCTACTTTCAATTCATCAGAATCTAAACCTGCAATTATTACATAAACAGTTACAATTGGGAAAATTAGTCCAAACGTTTGATGCAAGCTATTTCTGTAATACATATGAATTGAAACTTGTGAATTGTATTTTTGTCTTCCGAAGATACTGAAGTTTTGAGATGTAATGAAAAGTCAAAATGTGATCTCATGGTTGATCACATATATAGAATGTCCCTACAATCACTGTCCTGAAGCCGAGTTGTTTTGTTTTTTTGATTGACATGATACCTTTGAAACCGATATTCAATTCCCAGAAAACAAGTGTGACGGCAGTGACGGGTGTGAGGCTACTTGTGTTAACACAGGCGGCTCCTTCAAGTGTGAGTGCCCAGCAGGGCAAACTGTCAACCTGGATGGAAAGACGTGTGACGGTAATATATCCTCCTCTTTCAGATTACCACTGTGAATTAGAAACATGCACATATCAAAACATTTGAACTAGATCACTACTGAATATATTTAGTTTAAAGTCAATAAGATATGAAAGTAACTGGAGTAGACAAGTAAACGCAGATTAACAGCATTGAAACAAGTGGCTTTTTTCACTGATGTCATTATGCAACCCTTTGGTACAGAGCATGGCGAGTATTGTAGTTAACATATGCAAACTGTCCATCGTGTACATACATCCTTCGCAGTTCGGTTGAGAAATGATCATCCACTCTTCATAGTTCTTGCTGATTCAGATAGATGACATGAATTGTGTCTACCTTTTCAGCTGTTGAAATATTCGCTGCTAGTATCACCCTGAACAAAACTGTGCCCGAAAGCGCCTTCAATAACACCACGGCGGAATATACCAAACTACTCAAAGACATAGAGAGAGCGGTAAGATGACGTGGAGACTCGGTTGGACGTGTCTTGTTCCGTGACGGCTCTTAATCTTGCATTGTTTTACTAGATAGTCATTGCGTTTTGGCACGCCCAAGAAACGCAATTCCGTTGCCTTAGATGATTAGGACACAGGTGTTCTCCCTTTTCTTATTTTGTACCCGACAGGACACCAGTGTACAGCTGTAAGCGGATTACTCCGCTTTGAACATTACCGGTAGGGCAGGATATGCTCATCCTTTTCGCGAACACCTGGTGTCATCACTGATTTTCTTTTGTCTATTCAAAAAATTGTCACTGCTATTTTGCCCTTACGCCAAATGGAATCTGTTTCGGCGCTAAATGAAGATATTCTCTTGCACTGAAAATTCATATTATATTTACTTATATGAAGGCGTGCCAACTTGACATGGGCGGAAATCCCAAAGTGATCCAAGTCTTAGTAATTTACCACTTTGATTAAAGCTACGAGCATGGGTATGGTACTGACAGAGCATGAACCCTAATCAGAGTGTATCAGTGATTCGAACCAACGATCATGTGACGCCAGCACATTTCAATGTGTACAATACCCTGCCTATGTAAGCATCTGATGATTCAACATTCCCTTTATATACTGTATGTTTGAAAAGTTAATCTTTACAATACATTAACTATTCACAATGTTATCTTATGTTTATGTCAACGTTTCGTTGTTTTTGTTTCAGCTGATTATTTACTTCAAGAGCGAACTAGTTGATGCCTTTGTCACGCTTGTTGTCATCCGAATCAGGTGAGTAGTTCAACCTGGGATTGAGCGTGCATTTCAGCTGTTACTGAAGACCTTGAATAAGCACAGAGAGTGAGTGAGTGAGTTGAATTTAACGACGCTTTGAACAGTATTTCAGTTATATCACGACGTATAAGCTTGATATGGGAGGAAAATGATACTGTTTCCAGACGTTGACCTCTTTGATGAACTCTGCAAGCACGGTATAGTTCTGACAAACCTACAAATGTGATCAGGGCGAACCGGGCTTCGAACCCACGACCATCGGTTTTTGGCAAGCTGAAAGGTCGCAACTCTTCGTAGCGAAGTACGAGCCACAGCGGCCAAGTATTTGCACAGATAATTACTGAACCCAATAAGTCTAGCATGTCAATGTACCTTCATTTCAAAAAGCTATAAACGAATTTTCATAAATATGACGTTTGTCCTGTGTGTGCTTTAGATCGGGTAGTGTCGTCGCTGACTACACAACTGAAATTAACAAGATGGGAGACACTGACGCTGCCGCAGTGTTCGCCAAAGCCACGACCGCTCTGGTATCGGGTAACTTAACTATCGATGGAGTAAATGCATCCGTTCTGGCCCAGACAGTCAATGGGACTAATGGTGAGTGAGGCTTGACATGTACTGTTTGTTAGTTTATTTATTGTTTGACGCCGCACCCAGAAATAGTCAGGCTACACCGCTACTCGTCCGGAACATCATCTGTTCTTAGGTATTATCAAGCCCGAGTGATTTCAAACCTTTAAACTATAGGTTTCAAATAGACGGGAAGACCCCTATATGCGCAACTTGATACGTGAAATAGTAGCATATACAGAGCTAATAAAAAATACATAGAATATTGCTGTGATGATTACTGTAGAGTAGTTATCTGGTGAGACTTATCTAAAATGCGAGAAGTCTGTGAGACTAATGTTCTCAGCAGTCTCCTGTGCTAAAGTGTCACGTGTACCCCGTGACCAATGTTCTCAGCAGTCTCCTGTGCTGTATTGTCACGTGTACCCCGTTGACTGATGTTCACAGCAGTCTCCTGTGCTATATTGTCACGTGTACACCAGGTCTGATGTTGTCAGCAGTCTCCTGTGCAAGTGTCACTTGTAACCCATGGCTGATGTTCTCAGCAGTCTCCTGTGCTATATTGTCACGTGTACCCAGTGACTGATGTTCTCAGCAGTCTCCTGTGCTAGTGTCACTTGACATTCCTCGTGTTCCCAATAGTCTGCCGTGCTTTGTTTCAGTGACGGAAGATGCGTGTGACACTTACAGGACCAACTGTGAGAGTAACCAAGTCTGCGTCAATGATAAGGGTACACCAGTCTGCAAGTAAGAGATCCATTTTCTCAACTTGCGTCAAAAGATAAAAGATATTTCCAAAGTAGTTGTTTCTGTCAAATGTAAATTAACATGAGTTAAAATCAAATGTAGCATTTACTCTTCAGCTAATCAATCTGTGTTGCCTTTCAGGCTCGTTCCCGAAGAAAGTGAGTACATCGTTATGCGGCTCCACATTAAGATCTTCTTTTGCCTAAAACAGAACTTTATAGAGCGATTGGAAATCACCTTTCCAAAAAATGTTTTTAATTATGTAATGGTTTTGCAAATTACAGATGCTGTTATATATAATGATATAGAATTAATCACAGATGATACCATAAAGCTATATATAATTAATCACCCGTCAGAGATGAAATTATATAGCAATATAGAATTAATTTCAATCACAGATGATGTTATATAACCAAAAAGGACAAATTCCACATCGAACACAGTTGAAATTATATAGCGATATAGAATTTATTACCCATCAGTCACAGATGATGTTATAGAACCATATAGAACACATTCCTCATCGAACACAGATGAAATTATATAGCGATTTAGAATCAACCCCAGATGGTGCTGTAGAATCAGCCATAAATTAGCCATGATACACAACTAAATAGAATTCACTTCCTCAAATTGCAGAATATGGTTAATGACACAAAGTGTCAACAGACCATACTGCAGTGGACATCAGCCGAATACATTGTTTATATGATCGGCGTTGTTTCAATAAATGCTCAAAGCCTTCCTACTTATATTAACCCAATCAAATCATGTTTGTTTTCAGGCGACTATCGACTTATTATCGGCCTTTCCGTGGGTATCCCTCTCTTCATCATCATTCTGGCGTCCATCATCGCTATCATCTTTATGAGGATGAGAAACCAGAAGAAGAGTCTTGAGAGGTCGTCTGAGGAACGGTGAGTGGGACAAGTGCGCGTTCTGGTGGATGTAGTGAATGGTAGAAGCCAGCATTCCCAGTGGCGCTGTCTGCCTCATTCGGCAGTGAAACAGAGAAGCTAGTCTGACAGTTGTATAAGTATAAGCTGGGTAGTGAATCACAGTCTGGCAACTGCACATTGTTAGTATCCCCCGTCACGAAGTGGCGCGAGGTATAAAGGAACGGAGTTCGTCCATCCGTCCGTCCGTTCGTCCATCCGTCCGTCCGTCCGCTTTTCAAAATGGTCCAAATTTCTGACTGATGTTACTGGGCATGATCTGAAATGAGTTTGATAATTAGTGTCGTAAATTCATTTTTTACAGAGTTATGGCCTTGATCCGCGGTGTTC